AAGTGCTATCAGGTCAGAAATTACAGGTAGATTATAAAAATGAAAACCCGAAGAAAATCGATGCAAAAATACGCCTTCTAGAGCCGATTTTCGACTTTTTGCACATGTTGAACTGTGGCAATTCCAGTTTTGCAAAAATGTTCCAATATATATTTAAGGAACACGTTGCCACTACAGAAGGTCTAGAGAAGTTGAATGGTTGCTGCAACTACTGCAGTTTAAGCTCAGGAAGGTGTGTAAATTTCGAAAAAAAAAAAAAAAAAAAAAAAAAAAAAAAAAAGAATGGACATTTCGATAACAAACTGGGACTTTGCTGAAAGCAAAGTCCCACAAAAAAAAGAATGGACATTTCGATAACAAACTGGGACTTTGCTGAAAGCAAAGTCCCACAAAAAAAAGAATGGACATTTCGATAACAAACTGGGACTTTGCTGAAAGCAAAGTCCCACAAAAAAAAGAATGGACATTTCGATAACAAACTGGGACTTTCCTGAAAGCAAAGTCCCACAATAACACATTTATCATTACTCGACTGTCAACATGTCTCTATATTTTATTGTAGGTGATAAATTATGATAAAGTGAAATGTGTAGAACGACTCCGACAACAATCAACAAGTGATATTAGTAAACAAAGTGCAATATCAGACACAATAGGTATAAATGTTTACATATGTATGATTTGATTTTGGAATTCATTATTCATTATGGAGATTAAATGATCAATGTCTATGTCCATGATTTAAGTTTGTTTAGTGACTGTATCTATCATTTTAGATTTAAACGCCAGTGGAAATAAAGGTTTGAATGGTGATTTCCATATAGCATTTGGGGCTCGTGTCCCTATACCAGAAACCTCACGGAAAACCAGTAACGGAAAATTAGTAAGTCATATGAACTTTTTGCAATGAGACACCTTATTCAACAAATTTTTGTTTGTTATGGAGTATTTTAAAGGAAATTAAAAAAAAGGCCATTTATTTATTACAATAATAATGCATTACTTTTTTTTGACTGTTACTGATGTTAGAGCGTTTTTTATTGTAGAATTCGTCTGGTAATAGAAGTTTTTACCAAGAAAAAGGTAACACTAATGAATACTTAAATAAAGCAACAAAGATTCTCTTTGACATCTTTTATAGTGCATTGATTTCTTTCTTGATAAATTGTTTCACAAACAAAGTTTCTTTAGTTGATACCATTCATATTTACTGCATCATTTTCATTCATATTATTTTATTTCACAAATTTTTTTTAAATTTGAACTATTTAAAATGAATAAAATTTAAAGCCACTTCTAAAAAATGTAATAATTATGCTGATTTGTGTATATATTTTAGATGGAATAACAATAAGTGGGTCTCTGAGTTCAAGTAGTACATCTAGAATAAAGAAAGTTGATCTTAATAGTTCTTTTCCCAGTAGATCTATTGAAGTAGATGAAACAGATAGCACTCAAGGTATGACACAGATCATACACAGATGGCTCATCATCAAAAACTAATAGTTGCCATTTAGGGTTTTTATTGAAATATGCATGTACTTGAAGTAATATAAATGATAAGTTTAGTTCCTCAAACCACTATGAATATCAATGTTTTTATTGATACATGTTTTATTTCTATCCAGTTACACCACATCCACCAAGAGAACCATCTAAAGACCGGGTTAGAAGAAGACCTAGAGTTAAAACATTATCTGGTAATAGTAAAGATAGACAATCTAGTGCTGGTTCACTACATGGTAGGATTTCTTATTTCCTTTTCTTTACTTTTGATACACCCACATAAATAATGTAAATACAAAATACAAGAACAGTTCTGATTGAGCCTATTCTTTGAGTACAATTGATGTGACTTTCAATTCCATTCTTTACAATATGTTACAGTTTAATCAGATCTGATTGTTAAAAGGATGCATCTTTCTTCCCGTTTTAGAAGAAGAAACAGAACAATTTGCCAAACCATTACCCAAGAAACCAGATCCAGATGGAAGAAAGAAAAAAACATCTTCGGCTGTTAGTTCAAGGTCTGGATCTGGTTCCAGACCGAATTCTGGGTCACGACCTAATTCAGGTTCAAGACCAACCTCTGGAACAAAACAAAGTGTCAATACAAAATCACATACATCAACTGTAAACTCAAAGAATGTATTAAGAAGTTTTGGTGACGGGGAAGAAGTAATTCAATCAGCTGGAGTAAAACAGACATCATCAACTAAATCAAAACCAGATAAACCACCATTTGATCCTTCCAAATATTCTAGTGGTGAGTGAGTTAGCAATTAAATGGTTTTTATATGAAATGGTGTTGGTTATGAATCAGATGATGAATTAATAGAACTTATCAATGATAATGATATTGGTTTTAATATTAAAGGTGTTGGTTATGAATCAGATGATGAATTAATAGAAGTTATCAATGCATTAAAATATAATGATAATATAACATCATCAACGTGTAGTTCATCACCAGCAGTAGAATATGAAGATAGTGAAGGGTAGGGCAAATACTGATATATTTTACACCCTTCTGTACAATAAAACTTTTATGAAGCCTTGAAATAGTTGCTGACGTGCATGTTAAATTTCAAGTTAATTGATTTGAAATATGTATCTAATGAGTTCTCTGTGGATTGTTCTGGTCTCTTTAGCTGGCAAATCACATTACTGGCAATGTATGCCTGTCAAATAGTGAGAAAATTAGATAATGTGATTTTTATATCTATATTAGAGTGGGATTATAGTGGGTTGTGTTTATTTAACATCAATAGAAAAAAAGAGCTACTATGAGGGTTATATCCTTTAAATATTTTCAATGGTTAAAATTCAAATATTTTTTTTCTAGTGATGAAAGTTCAGAGAAAAATAGGTTACATATATTTGCCTCACGTCCTACTGCTGCTAGAAGAAACAATATGTCACCTAATACCCAGTCTAATCAAGACAGTCCACAGGTTAGTCAATATACCTTATTATTTAAAGTGAAAATTATCAGATTGTTGATGAATATCAGACAGGTTCAAGTCAGTAGTGTCAAAGGGATTATATTATACGGACCAGTTGAAGGTCTCAGTCACTTGTAAAGCGAGTGTAATCTGTTTATTATTTGCTGTGTGGCTTACGTGGCCTAACATGGAACAAACTAATAAAATAAAACATTCTGAGAATCAAGGAACATGCTAATTTTATTCCCTTAGATAGAAGAATAGATCCCAACAAAATATTAAGTGTCCTCAATTTCTGTCATTTAATTTCAGATGCGGAAACATTTTTCCAAGAGTAGTCGTTCATTACAAAGATCCCATGCTGATATATATTCTGCAAGAGGAGCCAGATTAGAAGATGATTTTGTCAATAGTCAATCCAGCAGTGAGGAGGAGGAATACCTTCAAAAATCTCATAGATCTAACTCCCGTCCAACTAGCAATACCTCCAGTCAAGGTGGAAGTCCTAAGTCTCGGAATGGATCAGCATCTAAACGTAACCTTATAGGTCCTAAACCGTCCAGTATTAGTCCTGAACACAGAGGAGATGATTTTTTACCAAACTCAACCTCACAACCATCAGGTCATCTAGCTAGAATGAGTGTTAAAATTTTGAAAGAAATCACCAAAAGCGACCCAAGACTAAAATCTCAGGTATTTTGAAATATGTTGCAAGTTCTATGTGTGTCTGGAACATGTATAGCTTCTGTAGTTTTTATAACATTTATTACCCTTCAGAAGTTCAATCGGATATCTGCAAATACAAGCAATAAGTGACATATACAAAAGCTTGACAAATTTCTTTTGAATCCCTCTAATACTATGTAACATAGACTTAGTGATTTGCTTGTATAGTGGCAAAGTGTCTTTGAGAGTATGATCTTGTCGAAAATAGATTCATTTATGAGATACTTGAGGTTTGATTATGTTTGTAAAATACAATTTCGACCTTGAGTACAAGTTTTTTAGTTTGTCCTAAATGAAACTATGTATATGAGAATAGAATTATTATGTATTTGTCATGTATCATTATTGTAGAGGGTATATAATAAAGAGAAGTATAAAACTGCTGATATAACAGAATCATTTGAAGCCAATATGTTTGCCAGTATGCAGCGTCAACAAGAAGAAGATATGGAAGAAATTAGTAATGATAGTAATATTAAAGTTATTATTAGTCCACGACGTATTAAAAATAAATCCCAGCATACGTATGATTCACCTGCTACTACTAGTGATGAAGATACTAGTTTTAGTACTTGGAAAGCACCAGTAAGTATCAGAAGGTTTGTTTCCCAAATAGACCCTTATTTATGACGTCACCTGCATTATGTGACTTGGTTATGATGCTGATATCTGATGCATTAATAAGGTCTATATAGAACTGTGTAAGTGATAATGATGGCAAATGTCATGAAAAGGGAAAAATGAAATATTTGAAATATTAGGTTGAATTGGAAATATTTGTTTTTGTAGTTTATATTTGTATCCATTACAATATGACCATTGTCATTTTACAGGCAGCTAATCAAAGAGGTTATAATATACATGAGGAAATGAAGTCAAGATTAAGTAGTGATACATTAACATCATCTAATCCAAGGTATGTTATGTGAATGGTTGATTTCTCTTTTATTCTTTCGCAGGCTGTTAAAGTACATGTGTTGAATATTGATTTTAATAAGATCATGAATGGCAAGTGGAGTCACCCACAGAAAATGAGATACAAAATAGATATGTATATTTATCAGAATGAAAACAATTTCATAGACATATTTACAGATCAAGTTTTACAAATATACCAAAGCAATTGGTAATGCAAGTAGTGTAAGTGACTTGTGTTTTCACAGAAAGGTATACTAAGAAATAAATATGAGAAATATAATTTATATTTGAAGAGATTGGAGCGGAGTATATAGTCCACCTATTAATTTACCAAATGATGTCAACAGTCAACTTAGAACATCAACAGACTGTAGTGACAATAGTTTATCACCTAGGAAAGATAAATATAGTCCAGGCAATACGTTAAATAATGTAGCAGAAGTAGAAACTGATACAGAAACAGATGGAGAAGAACTTGACTTGTTATTTGATTCAGTACTTAACTGTTATTATGATCCAAAAACACAAAAATATTATGAACTTTCAATATAGTGCAGATTTATAGTTGATCTTACTGTGATAGCTAAAGGGACGGCGTTCAACTTGGGTGAACTCAAACATTCATGTAATTCCTCTTGAATTTTTTACATGGTATTTGATATCTTATGTATCTTTGTGTAATCACAAGTTACATAACAATAGGGTATTTTGTGAAAACTGAAAGATATATCATAAAACACAGAATTGTACCACAGAGCTAAGGGTTATAATCAATATGTGACTAAAAGGTTGATGTTATAGTTAGCCCAAGAGATATGTAATAGTACCATAACTTATAAGTGAGACATTGAATTGTGGATGTTGATGTGGCATTGAAAATACAAACAAAATATTTTTAAACTCCATGTCATGAAGTCATGCTGACTAGGTTCTCTGAGTACATATCTAGCTTCAGGACTTTATTATATGATTTGAAAAGTAAACATTTACTATAGACAGACACTTAATAAAAGATGCTCTGCACTGTTACAAAGGAAATGGAAACCCTTCAAGATTTGCTCTCAAAAATCGTATATATTAAAATAAGCCACACCTGTAATTTACGAAGCTTTTTTAATTAACTTAAATATTCAATGTGTACAACCAACTAAGCCGTCCTGCTAACAATTCCATTTTACTCTCTGCATGCTTAGAGCAGTAATTATATTACAATGCTAGTGTAACCAATAAACTTATTGTTTGTTAAATATTTATGCTTTGAGATTTGTTAACTTCTATTCATTAAATAAAATTTTTTCTGAAAAATGAAAAAAATAAATGTGCAAATCTGGCCCTTCCCATTCCGCCAACAGACAAAATGTCATATTTCAAAGGAGTAGCCCTGACCCACTTCTGTGTTTCTATTTTTTAGAATTTTAAATTAAAATTTCACTATACAAACCTGACCCATATCCATCAAGACATTGCTGGATATTTTACAATGCCACAGGCGGGGACCAAAATACAGACGAGGGGTAGGCTTGACTTACAATGTTATAGGAAGATGGGAAATTCCTACCCCTCAGTTTTTTCTTAGCTGAAAAAGGGTCTAATCATACATTTTTTTTTTCTCTTCATGACCTAGGCCCATCACCCTTACACAACACGCCTATTTACCACAATTATAATAAATCAAATGCTTTAAAAATGAGTTTTAAGGACTTATAGGTATTGTTGTATTATCAGTAAAGTTATCATCATTTAATATCTCAGTTTAAAATCAGATGTGTTTCTTGTTCAAGGAGGTCATAATGTAGGCCATATGTAAAACTGCAGCTTTCATATTCTTCATTCTTATTTTAAAGAACGGTTTGTGTTTATTCTACAAAGCATTATTATAGCAAACAACAAATTTTATTTTAAACAATCTATACATTTGTGTACATCCTGGTACATAGATCACCGGAAGTCGAAAAAATTCCGCGAAAACACAATCACAACAAACAAGAAAGAAACATTCACTGACCATTGAAAACTGAACGTAAATTAAATCAATTTGTTGACATCAGTAGTAGATCTAGTTAGAAAACATTGTTAAGCCAGAATAAATCACATAGTTCTCCTGCTAATTTCGATCAAGAGGTAAGTGAATTCGGGTGCGTCTTAATACGTAAATGAGGCTCATTTATTAATATAAACTTGGAACAAACTTTCACCTGAACTGAAGTCTTTGAATGGCGATTGTGAGTACTTTCACCTGTAGTTTGAATCATAGAACTGTATACTGTGAGTATGCAATTCTATGTTTGAATGTTCTAAAAACCTATAATTAATAGTAATGCCGTAAGCCTTCAGTAGATGAAGTGAATGACCTCTGCATTGTCCCAAATCCACAGATAGATCTAATTCTTTACACGGTGGGCTCGTTTTGCCGCATTGCCCAACAAGCCGCATAGTGCCCAACTGCACAAAAAACGACTTGTAAAACGAAATTAAAGGTTTCTGATAAAATCCGGAATGGCCAGTTGTTTCACATGAAACGGAATATTTTAATGTATGTACCCCCACAGCCAGGTGCAGCCACTGAGTATTTGCAATTGTTAAAGTCAGCAACAGATGAGAGGAACTAGCTGAGCTGCCTGTCTCGAGAGACTGTCAGCCGATCAACATTCTCATTACTTTTTTCACCGCAGACGAGGGCTCTTGTCTGAGCTATTGTTTCACTAGAGAGTCTTCAATGTATTCTATACGTCAACGAAAACAACTGAAGAACGTTCGGACTGCATCCATGTCATGTAGGCCTAAGTGATCAAAATGGCCTCATTATCCTGTTTTGGAATTCTGCAGAAAAAAACATTATATAGATATGGATAGTCTTGCTATTTTCAGCATGTTGATATTTTAAAAGTCATCATTCACCGTTAAAATAATGATACCATGTGATCCGTCAATGCATTTCTATTGGTTAGCTACTTTTTCTAGCTCAGCTGGAAACTTAAACGCCCACACACAGTGAATTTCTGGCGTCTTGAGGCAGAAAATATCAAAAAAGATATATTCCTCACAGCCTCTTGAGGCAGAAATCTCACTAAAAATTCAGCACACATGGGGGGATACAGCTCTGCTCCCAACCTCTTGAGGTAGGCTGCTCAGTCTGTGACAGGCTTTAGAGGTTTTGAATCAATCAAATGTATGTTTATCAAAAATAATTTTAATGTATAATATTAAATGTGTTACTTGTGTCAGGTCCCCCTGTTTTACTTTGCACAATGTAACAAAATAGTATCTAAAATTTAGCATATATCCAGCCCACTCTTTGTCTCAAATTTCCATGTCACTAGGAAAGTGTTAATAATTCATTGACGATTTGGCAAGATGAGGAGGTGACAAATAACAAATAATAAATATGTAAACATGATCATCAATGGATTTTTTCTTAAAGGTGTTGTGAAGAGGTTTTCTAAATTTTTTATGTGCATCAGGAAACACAAGAAATTATACTTGTTGTTGGTTTGAATTCTGGTCTAACTTGTTGCATTTACAGACAGGGTTTTTCCGCTCTCAATGATATGGTCATGGGATTGACGTATTGTCTTGCAAAAGATATGATAGACCACGTGCACATAAAGCAGTTAGAATAGAAGTAAGAGAGATCATAGAAGGCAAAATTTCCATACTCCACTCAATACCACATATGGGAAGGAGCAAGTTGGTTATAAGGTGCAGAATGAAAAGGGAGTTGAAATGGTTAGGGGCAAAATGAAAATGAGACGATATGGGAAAGGGATAAAACAAAATAATTTAAGGACGAAATTGCAGTAGATTTAGTGTGAATTTGGAAGCAGCGATATCAGAATAGACCACAATCAAATGAGAAAAGAAATAGAATCACTGAATGTTATTTAAAAAAAGATGCATTGATTGTTGAGTGAGTCTATCTCTATTTTAAAATTTACAATATAATTACTTTCAATATCATAAATAGGCATATTAATTAATGATATTTTAACTTTATCAGTGATCGCTTGATATGAGAATGTTTATAATGGACTGGAATCTAGTAGCCTGTGGACATCATAAGCTATTCATATGCACTATTAAGAGTCTAAAACTCCATTTCAGTTCATTTGTTTCTTTTTTTTTGAGCTAACTACCACGGGGGTAAAATTATTCAGATGGAAGTAGATTCTGAACTTTCAGATGAATCAATTTTTGATAAAAAGTAGAATAGGAACAACTGGTAGCATCTATAATTTTACAGCCTTTGTTTGCTAAGATGGAATTCATCAAGCAATTAATCAGATTCTCCAAGATGCCATTGATTGTTATCAATCATTGAAAATCCAGTTGCTCTCAGATTCTGTCACTTGCAGGGTGGAACCCCTTTTCCCTCCCTTTTAAATGAAGCACCCCATGGATAAAAGGTGGTAAATCATATCTTTCTTTTGAAGTTTAATGCTTAAATGATGAATGAGTTGTAGAAATATTTTTTTATTACAACCTGGTAGAATATAGTTAGTATAGATATAATGAAATGATAATAAAATTGTATAAATATATATATATATCTTTAGACTTAAGTGGTATTGTTTGGGTTGGGCAGTATCAATTAACTTTTAGTACACATATTTCATGATGAAAAGCACTTGGAAATAGTCTTTATCAAGGTGCTGTAAAAGTAGATTATTTTATATCAGATGTTTAATTTTTATTTATTCCTCTTAACATTATTGGAAGAGAGTGTATCTCCAATCGTTAACTAAGTACAACCACGGTAGCTTATTTATACAAATCTATGACAATGAACCTTTTTTTGAATGATTTGCTGGTATATTGTACATGTCAAAGTTTTTATTATATCACAAAGGAAAGCATAATTATATTGCCCAATCCAAAACCACTGATAAATTGGTAACTTTTTTAATAATATAAAAGACATATAAAATTCATATTCCTTGCTATTTACAGAAAATTGTTGCCAGATATTTTTTAAAGTAAGTTAATGGATCCAGTTTAAGGAAATATCAGATAAGAATATTTGTATAAAAAAGCAACAAAACAATGATGTTATCTGAGTATCATAGACGTTAATCTTAATAAAAAAAGTACCAGGAAAGCATTTCTAATAAAGATAATATTACATGTTGTGCAGTTGAATAAATTTAGCCAAAATATGATGAAAAGCATTTTATTTTCTTCCAATTTACCATGATGACGCTAATGGACTAAAATAGCAAAATATAGTATACATTATAAGGCAAACTATTTGTAATGCTGAGCTACAAAGAATGATGATTCAAGACATATTTACAATAGAAATCAATTGTTACAATTTCTGTCAGGGCTTTTTGTTGATTTGAAGAGACATAGTTGTCCAGATTTTTTGTTTTTCTAGCTGATCGAGCTCAATTTCAGTTAGCTGTATCACTTTTCAGTATTCATTCAAACTCCCTGTTCTCTTACAAATTAAACAAAAAATTCAGACTAGTTACTTCTTGGTAATTATTTATATGCTCAAGGACAGTAATAGACATATCTGCACATGAGAATGTAAATAATTGCCCAGGAAGCAAACTTCATGAGATTCATTAAAATATATTTAAAATCTTTAATAAGCAATTGTAATCTATTTGTTCAATAGAATAATTTGAAATATTTGCAAAACAATAATTGAAAATGAACGAAGATGACAAAAACATATTGATATTTTTCAAAAAAAATCTATGTAAAGTTTTTATTTGACCTCCAATGTTTATATCTTCAGCTTGTTATTTTGAGACTTTCTTTTGGAGAGACATGATAATTCATTTACTTAAATCAGAATTTTGTTGTTTCATATCTCAAAATGTTATTTAAGAATTTTCTATTAGCATACCACAATAATTGAATAATCGCAAGATTTATCAAGGACTGTGTCTGACAGCATGTGTCAAAAATATTGGGATGTATCAAAATTAGTATTTGTTGCCATCAAAACAGTCAGCATGGATTGAAGATAAAAGCTTTTTTTGAAACATCATGCTACATTTATTCAATTAATTATAGAATGCTTACAATTTAATAAGTGTAAGATTTTGAAGGAATATGTCCATGGATTCTTGTGTGTTGTTATTGTTGTATTAAAGTTGGAAGTTGCCACGAGGTCGTTGTGATGTCTGTGAATATTGGTCAGCAGGATAAGTACTTCCTTCATTATCTGGTACTGTCATAACCTGGATCGGTAATGATCTCTTTGAGCCAGTTTCTGAATAGTTACCATTGATTTCAGCTGTAAAATAGAACATGATAATATTAACACTCAGTTGTAGTTCATAAAAAATATAAATGAAAAAGTTTTATTTGAAAGGGTAGTTATATTAACATCAATAACCAATCAAAGGTGTTATCAAAAGCTACCTGTGTAGCAGTTGGTTTTAAAGTGTTTGCTTTCACATTTTAAGCATTATGTGAATTTCTCAAAGATTCTGAAACTAGATTTGAGTGAATTAAAAGTGATCCATGAGCATATTATGGTAAACTAAAATCTACTGACTATTGTTTAGTTATGAACTTGATATCTTCAAGAATAAATAAATTGCATACTATTTTAGAAGCATTAGTAATTATTTTAGATATTGTGACATAAAACTATGTGATATTTTGTCTTTCTACTGAAGATATTGATTGAATTTAGACAGTTTGATTGATTTGGATATTGATTGTTACTAAATCAATATCAATATCTACACTGTTTATTGTTAGATTAATTGATTAAAGAGTTGCAGGTTGTGAATCAATATCCTATATTTAACTGGTTATTAGAGATTTAGTTTTCATGGAATCAGAAAATTAACAAATAACAATAACAATAGCCAATAACCAGCTATACCAGTACATTATTCTTAGTTCAGGGTACATCCAATAATTTTATATGGAATAATTTCAGAAATCACAGGTCAACTATTTAATGGTTTTGCGGCTGTGAATGCTGACTTGACATTAATATGAAAGGTTTTTAAGATCCCTTTCAATGTCAAAATTAATTGGAACTACATTGTATTGTGTTGAAAAAGCAACATTAAACAATGGACATTGATTCTATTTGTTTTAAGAAATGAAATGTGTTAAATTTTTCAAGGAAAGGTCCTTCATTTGTTGCATGTTTTAGTGTAATGATTGCTGCTTTATGGTGCTAAATTTTGGTGAGATTTTAAAAGTCAAGTCAAAATCAAATTTTGTTACGTTTTGATAGATAAATATTCTGGTTATATTTCATAGAACTATGTTGTTAATAAAGCCAGATTTGCTGGATGGGTTGCTTTATGCCCTGGATACATCAATGTGGCAGATACAAAATTTGGTCTTCATGAATATTTTGAAGGGGTAATAAGGTTTGTTTGTAATCAATATAATGATTCTGATTTAAGAATATACTTACATTTTGTCACAGTTCCAGTTGTAGAATAAATTTCAATCTTTGCTCTTTTAGTAGCCAGGAAGAATGCTAATACAGCTAAAACTAAGGCATCAAATATTCCTAGAATAGCCAGGATATAGGCCCATCGAACTTGGCATTCTCCCAATCTGAATTCATTGGCATCAGAACCACAAATCTTCTCAACTTCAGGATGATCCCAACCATTTGGATAGATAACACAGGCCAGAAACATGAATATAGCTGGAAGTAAAGACAACAAAAAATTTATTTAAAATAATTACCTCTTTATGACATTGAAGCTGATTTTATTGACATATGTTATGACATCTAAGCTGAGAACAGATCTCGTTTCGAAGGTTATTTGAATTCATTTTCTGAAAGGTTTCATCTTATGCAAATTCTGATGACTGGATCATGAGATTATGAAGGTAAAGTGGAAAAGCTATGCCTAATACCACTCAAACACATCATGATTCTTGCCAAAGATTTTGATGGTGCTGCCCAAGAAAGTAGATCTAATGGTAATAGGCTAATTAGAAAATATTCTTTTGTAATATAAGTGAAAATCATCTGTAAAGTTGATTTGTTAACAAACAATTTGTACACAGTTTGGGTCAGGATATTGTGTCTGTATCATTTATTTGAAACATTTTTCAAGCTAGGTGATAACAGGTTATGATGCTTGTTATTGCTATTATTTACATAGAGAGAGACCATAATAGGTTTATGACACTCCCTTTTATCCAATAGTTTACAATATATATATACCTATTAATATTTAAGGTAGCAGGTTTCTTGAAAATTATTATATAATTTTATATATTTATGTATGATTTTATTTCTGTTTTGGACAATGTATTTTGTTAAGTGTTGTCACTTCAGTTTTAATTTCAAAATGTTAGACTCTCAGCTAAAAACACCAAATCTACTTGTAAAGTTGACAAATATTCGTGTAATGGAGCATGCCTAACTAAGCTCAATTTTTGGTTTTTATAGAAAACTTTATGTTATCAGGGTATGGAGGAACATTTTCTCCAAATCTAACATTATTAGGTTAAAGACGGGTTTAAAGATAATATGCCATTCTTAAAATGGTTAAATTCTTTTAAATTTGTTCAATATTTTTGGGCATCTGGGAAGAAGCCCATTTTGAATTTTTGAACTGATTTTTACTGATTTTTAATCGAATAATGTGCTGGAAAAAATATAAAGGAAGTCTATATCTGAGTCGGATTCTCAATTAGGAACTCCAAAATCAATAAAATACAGGAATCGTATTGAAACAAAGTGAGTTTGGATTTGTATGTAATATGTTGTTAGCATTCAAGTTAGTTGTGGTATTCAAACATTTGTGAACAAAATCCATATTTAATGATTAACGAACATTCTTAATTTGGACAGGTCTTAAAAAAAATTGTCCTTTTTTTATCATTAATTTTTTTGAAAATGACTGGTAAGGGAAATTGTTCAACAGTATCCCTGTATTATGGTCATCTAGTTTCAAACTTCCTTCAACTTACCTGATATTAATTGTAAAATACCACAAAATATAAACACAGCAGTTTTCTTGAAACAGAAAAATAAGAGAAGAGCAGCTACAACAATCAACATCAGTAGGGCTGAAACTCCAACGAAAAATGTGCACGCCTTAAATGAATCATTAAGAATGGTGGCGAAATCTGCAAATGTTCCACTGCATACATATATAGCTCGGGCATTATCAGGATAACAATATTGATAAAGTCCAAGATGACCATATCCTGGACTTGTTGGACTATCTCCGATCCATTGAGGCTGTACAAATGCCACAATATTCAGAATACACCATATGATAGACAATAATCCCCATAGGACGGCCACAGCACGGTACTCCCTCATATAACGAAAATGATAAATTTTAGCTGTATCTGGATTATACTTTGGGTCCATCATTTTTAAGACAGTATTAATCCAAAACCACACACAAGTCCTTGTTTAAGGGAGCCTGATCCACAGGGTGATTTAAGTCAACGAAAATATGAAGAAGTAAAATTCCTACTGATATCTGAATGAAAAAGGGTGAGGTTGAACAGTAAACAATACAAGTTTGAAGATTTCAGTCCCACTGTGCTCTATTCACAATACACCTACCACAACTTGTCTTAAGTTAAAACTTGTAGAACAGGTTTGACAGAATTAGCCAGCTACTCATGGTATTAATACATTCATATTGATAACATTGGAGTCGTTAGGCCGTGACATCAAATTGTTCTGCTTCGGGAGGCTTTTCTTGCAGGTTTTTTGATAAATAAAAACATTTTAGGTTGCAGAAACAGGTTTTTAACTAACAAAAAAGTCATTTGGGGGTAGTAATAAGAGAAATCTGTCAGTTACTCTGTATGTTTTTGTATTGTATTATAAGTCTGTTATTGTACTATAGAAATGTATAGTCTTATAGACTGTAAAGCAATTGTACTCTAGGCCCTATATAAGGCGGGTATTTTCAACTCTTAAATAAAGCAATTAATAGGGTTTTCTAGTCAGAAATGTAGACAATGAGCAATATTTATTATTTTGCTCTATTACTACATGATGCCTGCCACAAATATGATTAAAGTAACGAAATAATTAATAAACATATTATATAATACAGGTGTAGCAAGCTTTGCTAGGCATTAGAAGATTTATATTGGACCTCACAGTGTTTGTTACTTTTATTTCATATGAGATGCAAGGCTCAAACATGATGTTATAATATTTAATTATAATTAATATTTGATGACTTTCTTTAAGTGACTTTTGTGTGCCATTTATTCATAAACTTCACATTCTGTTTAAAGTGTTTTATCTTTCTTATTAGCTAAATAAAGCAACCATTATGTCCCCTGTCTCATATGTAAAGAAAAACATTCTTTCAAATATTGTTGTTTAGTTAGATGTTTTAGAAAACAAAGATTAAGTAAGACTTAAGACTTAAGTAAGATTAAGTAAGTAAGAATGACTTTTTTGTAGAGATTCAAAATTGTGCATTACATTGACATCAATAGTTATCACGGATTTGGACAGCATAAAAGCAATAAGTTGACTTTGAACAGTCTTGTCTAGCAGAACAGTTTTCAGTCAGATACTTTTGTTTTTCAGACATGGCTGAAGACCAATGTACCTATGGTTTGTCAATGGAAGATTGGAGAGTATTAGAAGATACAGTACCATGTCGAGAGAAAGAAATAGAGAATATTCTAGCTCTAATGGGACAGGTAAATTACTAAATATATCAATACACCATCTAAACTCTAAAAAAGCCAAAATTCCAGACATTAATATTGATACTAATAAAAACATCCTGATGATGCCTAGAAAGCTCTAACTGTTCAATTCTGCTTCTTTTTCTCCCTGAAAAATGAAAGAATTTACAGAGGTTTAGTTTTAGGTGAAGTAAGATTTCATGAAGTGTGTTTTTCTTTCAGAAAGATCAGATGACACCAGCATCTGTATTTATCTATGGTCATACCGCCACTGGTAAATCTCATGTAGTCAATTCACTTCTTAAAATATCACAGGTATAGATGAGTTAATTAACATTTATCATCCTGAAAATATAATCATCTCATCTTAGAGCAATAGTACTTTGGTACCAACAAAAAATGTCTCCATAGAATAGGATACAGAAGCCATAGAAGTTTATCTTTATGTTCTTTAATGGTTCATATAAATATTGCCTCATTTACCAATAAGTTATAGAATATCTTTGATTAAGTAATGCTAGATGATAAATTGATTAAAATTTCAGGTACCATATGTACTAGTGAATTGTGTGGAGTGTTATAGTTCTAGATTTCTTTATGAACATATTCTCAACAACCTCTCTCATACCAACCATACAGAACAATATAGATGTGATAATATGAATGACTTTATTCGTTCCTTTCAACAAATTATAGAAGAAAAAAATTATAAAGATCATACAGTGTATATAGTAAGTTAGGAGTTATTGGCCTTTAATGAAGTTTTACAGGACATATCCATGTATTACTTTTCCCTTATTAGTTTAAACAATATACAGGTTTAAATTGCAATTTAATTCAAATGCAATGCCCATTCTAAAATTCAAGGGCAATTAGTTGAAAACCAGTTGTCACAAAATTGAGTTGAACTCAGACAGAAAGAGAAAAACCTATGTTTATAGTGTCTATGTCTATAGTGATTTCAGTGTTAACTGTAAATTCTAGTTTTCACAAATCTGGATGCAGAGTGTTTGATTTTGTTCGTACCATCTAAAGTTTACATAAAATTGAAATGAAATTGGTAAGCAATTACAAGTGGTAGTAGGTAGGTACCTAGCAGTAAGTATTATTTTGTATACATGTATATATATTTTAGGTACTAGATAAAGCAGAAAGATTAAGAGAAATGGAAGCTAATATTCTACCATCATTTCTGAGAATTCAAGAACTGGTATGTTATGAAGATATTAAATGCTCCTATATCTCCTGTATATATTTTATATTGAAGACAAAGTGTAATGATTGTGTTTTTAAATGTTTTACACACTGTATGATGTTTGTGTTTTATATTTTAGACTCTCTGTTTCATATTTTTTTTAATTGCAGACACATTGTAATACAGTGGTGTAACCTATTTTCGTGCATATAAGGATTCAACACCGAATTTAGTCAAAGTTAAAAAAACAAAATTTTTTTTTTTGTATTAGATGTTTTCTCAGACATTCTACAAAATAATTAAAATTGGTTTATTTCGATTTTCTTTATGAATCCTTCACTTTGACCAATATTTCATGAGCAACCAACTCGGCAACGGCGGCAGAATGCGTCACCTATTTTCGTGTACAATGTTTGATCTATAAATAAGTCTATAAAAACACGTTGTATGGATACCGGGTGGTATAATTAACTTCTCTTAGTATTTATCTTTAATATCACTTCATTATAACTAGTGACAAATCCTTCAAAGAACCACGATTTTAAAAACAAATAGTGACTGACAAAATAAGATACGTAGCGTGATTTATTGCTAAAAGTCACTGAAACAACATAAGAATATGGCACACTTTCTGCTAGTTGATCACGTGACTTCATTCGTTGGACTACATTCTAGCAGACGACACTTGGAATTCTGATTACCGCTTGGGATTATAAGGAAATTCGGCCGATAAAAACTGGTGACGTTTGGTAATAAGTGAAATCAGCCATTTTGTATTTGTCAAAGTATACATTAATACATTTTACCTTGCTTGAAACTACTGGATTCATTCTACTAGCTTACATTGTACAGATAATCCATGTTTATCAAAACAAGCAAATGCGAAGGTCATGCAAGGTCGCACATGTAAGTTATTAATCATTTCCGGAAATGCACGAAAAATAGGTTAGCGCGAAATTAGGTTGCTGGACTGTATATGTGTCTTTTATTGCAGACACAGTGTCATGAAACTTTTTTTTTTATGTAGACACAGTGTAATGTATATTTTTGTTATTGTAGACACAATGTAATATATGTGTTTTTATATTGTAGACACAGTGTAATATAATATTTGTTTTTATATTGTAGACACAGTGTAATATATTATGTTTTTTATATTGTAGACACAGTGTAATATGGTATGTTTTTTTTATTGTAGACACAGTGTAATATGGTATGTTTTTTTTATCGTAGACACAGTGTAATATGGTATGTTTTTTTTTTATTGTAGACACAGTGTAATGCATGTGTTTTTATGTTGTAAACACAGTGTAATATATGTGTTTTTATATTGTAGACACAGTTTGATATATGTGTTTTTATATTGTAGACTCAGTGTAGTGTATGTTTCTTTATATTGTAGACACAATGTAATATAATATGTGTTTTTATATTGTAAACACAATGTAATATAATATGTGTTTTTATATTGGAAACACAGTGTAATATATGTGTTTTTTTTTATTGTAGACACAGTGTAATATATGTGTTTTTATATTGTAGGCACAGTGTAATATATGTGTTTTTTTTAATTTTTAATTGTAGGCACAGGGTAATATATTTGTTTTTATATTGTAGACACAATGTAATTTATGTGTTTTCATATTGTAGACACCATGTAATATATGTGTTTTTATATTGTAGACACAGTGTAATATAATATGTGTTTTATATTGTAGACACAGTGTAATATAATATGTGTTTTTATATTGTAAACACAGTGTAATATATGTGTTTTTATATTGTAGACACAGTGTAATATATGTGTTTTTATATTGTAGACACAGTGTAATATAATATATGTTTTATATTGTAGACACAGTGTAATATAATATGTGTTTTTATATTGTAAACACAGTGTAATATATGTGTTTTTATATTGTAGACACAGTGTAATATATGTGTTTTTATATTGTAGACACAGTGTAATATGGTATGTTTTTTTTTTTTTTGTAGACACAGTGTAATATAAGTGTTCTTATATTGTAGACACAGTGTAATATATGTGTTCTTATATTGTAGACACAGTGTAATATATGTGTTTTTATATTGTAGACACAATTTAGTACAATTGTGTTTTTTATATTTAAGAATATGTGTATGTTTTCATAGTGTTAAGTTCTTATATTGTAGACACAGTGTAATGTTTGTGTTATGTTTATAAGTGAGATTGTATGGGACAAATTTAGAAGTGGTACAGGATCATGTGAACCATATATTCTTCAGTTTCCTGATTATTCTAAAGGTACATGCTTCAAGTGTTTTATTTACACGGTGATGGATAGCTTGGACAAAAAATGTGTATACATGTGGAGCAATGCTCATAGATAGAAGAAACTGAAAAAATTATTAGTTAAGGCTATTTATGAATTCTCAGTCTCAAAAATAATTACTTTTATAAAAGTCCTTCAACAACATCCGGATATACGGTCAATATAATTTATGATGGTATAGATCAAACATTGTGTTATTTAATGAGTCTTTAGGCAAAATTTAAGGATAGTTCAAAGAATGTTATGTTATTTTTTGTAGATGATCTGATGAAGATAATGAGTTTAGATTGTCCAACTGATTACGATGTAGATTTTTATAGTAATTTTACCAATCTGGTATTATCAGTCTTTCATCTAGTATGTCGTGATCTGAAAGAATTACGTCATCTAGTAAGTACATAATGAAAAATTAGAGCTCAAACATAGTAAGACATTCTAAGTTCATTTCTTAAATGATACATGTAGGGAAATACATAGTTATGAGTAGGCATCATGTCAGTTTATCAATGCCTTGACTTGATTGTCCCATCCAAGGAACACTTATTTTTTTGATCGATATCTATATTTGGTTGACATTGTTATTCACCAATTTTTTGAGTAATGTTTATATCATTTGCTAGTATGCTTTTAAAATGAAATTCAAGCTATAATAGTTTTGACACTGTGGTTTACAAAATGAAATATCAGTGTTTATAAATAATGCAAGTATAGTAGGTACATGTGTATATCTCTATTTCAGACAATGTTAAATTTTGATAAATATATTGAACCAATACAGAAGGGAGAAGGTACATGTCTCAATACAATAAACTTTATGATTCAGTGTGACCTAAGAGTTCAATAATGACTGAGCAAATTCCCTCAGCAAGAAAAGATTTAGGGACAATTTTAAAATCTAAAGAATATTTTTGGATGTATTAGATTTGTTTGGTCACTACATGGTTATCTATATATTTTATATGAAATTATTTCTGGATTTTAGCTACAATGAATGACAGTAGAAAACTATGGAGAAATATCGAACCTCATCTACGCAAAGCTTTACAAACAGTTTATCTTAGAGAAGTGTCAAGGTAAACATATGTCTTTTTTACCTCCTTCTTGAAGAGTTGTATGAGAATGATTTTGGCAAACAATGGTGTTTGGGAATTGATGCCTGTATCATCTGACAAATCAACTGAGAAAAATGACCTTGATTATTCTGTGTATTCAAACATTCTCATGAAAAAAAGACACGTCTCTTTCTGTTGAATGACATGACAAGAATCGCCTCAGTGTACACTGTATTTGAATTACTCATCAAATAATGTATTTTAACAACAGTGCTCAATGGGAGAAGTTACAAATGGAAATGTCATCCACTGAAAGTACTGGTGAGAGCCATTCAGTCAAATCAGGTAAGCCTGGCATCTAGTCTTGAATTACGTTAGTGCTTTCAGTTGTCATTCAATTGATATATCTAGCTATCTTCATGTTATTCCAATTAAAACAAACCATGATTTCCTAGATTCCTATTTAAAAAAAAACCAGACAATTTAAAGGATAGATCCTTTTCATTCACTCTTGTACAGGAACACATAAGTATCTGTGTGCAGCCTGTAGGCAAGATTTATATCATAGAGTTTGATGAATAATGTCATTTTATCTATAGACTAAGTTTATATCTATATAATATCTAGATTTGTCACCCTTCACATACAAAGCGGAATATTCCTTTCAATCGAGCGCCGTGAAGGGTGTGTACAATTGTGTCAAATCCAAATCGAAGGAAAACTTGATTACATGAATTAAAACAATTTTTACTTATACAAAACTACCCATTGCCACTTAGAAACCAGTAAAAAAGCCCTTAAATTGATTAGGGATGAATTACATATCACAAAAGTCAAAAGTTTTGATAAAGAAATGTCTTACAACTAGTTACAACTTTTAATCCATGCCTTAGAAACTAGGAAGTCAATAACTGATAGAAATATTCACATTTTACAAAATAGTGATGTAATGGTAAATATCATCAACAGAACTAAGATTATTATTACTTAAGAAATTTATTAACATCATCAAGATATGGACATCAGGGACAAGATTTCTGTAGTGGCTATTCAATACACAAGAATATTTGCTGAATTATTACATATAATACAGAAATATCAATATCATGAATCTCATCCATAGCTTATTTCTAGAAGTTTCGAAAGAATTGCAGCTCCAAAGAAATTGATAAGAAGGATGCTGTCAAATAACCAAAAGTAGCCAAAACATAACTTTACATTGGTCACAATCCATTGATTTATCATTAAAACACTGAATGCATTGGACAAGTGAATATTAGATATATATATATGATAAATAAGTTAATAATAATAATTATATTTTACAGCTATGTTAAGTAGAAGTCATGTTGAACTACCATTCTATTCTAAATATCTACTAATAGCTGCCTATATAGCATCTTATAATCCTGTTAAATCAGACAGAAGATTCTTTAAAAAGGTTTGTATGTTTTATATTTATAGAATAGAAAGATATCTTATATGTCCATATTTCATCCACAATTGCTTGAAACACTGACAATGACAATTTTTAACAGATATTGAGGAAACTTGGTAAAAAATGTTATTATCACTCAAAGATAAACCCTATTGCCCTATTGAAAATGAGAAAAAATGTTGCTTTAACATAATCTTGAGGTACTTGTTTATATTAATGAAACTGTAATGACAAATTTTCCAACCCAATTTGAATTTTATATGAATGCATATTATCCAAAGTTGAAGGTTATCTTTGGTATAAAAAGTTGGATAGAATAAAACCATACCCTATAAACATGTTAAATGTGAAAGAATTTTCATTGGCAAAGAACATAAAAAGGGCTGTGTATGCCCTGAATTTTTCAGTGGAGTTACCCCAAAACTGAAAAATACAAATGTCAATACATGTAGTAAAACATAAATAGATTTAACACAAATATTGACAGCCGAGTTAAAAGTGTTTAAAATTAATTAACTAAGAGTTTGAGTTTGGTCACTCAATGATCACTGAGAACTAAATTCCAACTTGATCCTTAAAAAAAGATTAAACCAAGACCAGGAAGTGAAAAGTGTTTACTGGATTGTCAGTTTTTTGTTTAAACACAGTGAATATGGAGTCTGATATATTTTAATCCTAGGTTGGGTGTGAGAACAAGTCAGAGGTTATAGTCAGGTTGATAAAAACAGTGTTGAGACTTGGAAATTTAGTTTGATAGCATGATAGAAAGTAGAGTTGAGCTTTAAATAAAAGATGATGTAGTTGTGTAGAACCTTGATTTACAACCTTCTGAAGTCATACCTACTAAACTGCATATGTTGCACCTCGTATAATAGAACAACTAAAGGGTTAAAGTGAAAAGATTACTTGTTATTAGAGGATCAAGACACCCACCAACTCCAATGAAATTTTGGGTGTGATAAACAGAAAAGTTGATACTTATGGAACATCAATTAATTTACTTCATATATGGATATACTTGTATATAAAATCATGTAGATTGTTAACAGTTGTATGGTTATCATTGTAGAGGTCAGCAAAGATGACTAGAAGAGCAGCTTTGATGAAGAAGAAAGAAAGAGCTAGTAATCATTTATTAGGACCTAAACCTTTCCCATTAGATAGATTACTAGCTATATTTTATTCTATAGTAGAGGGGAGGGTAGCACCTACAGCTAATATATTTTCACAAGTAAGTGTTTAAATCTGTACTCTATATGGTTTTGAGATAGAAAGTTGTTAATTGTGTAATATTATTTATGTCAATAACGATCATGGCAGCAAACTGAGAGAGTTTGAGCTCACTGCTCTTTTATCTTAAAGGTACAATTCTCTGCATAGGTCTTGAGATTGGGCTAACCCTGTCTAACCTTTCTCCCAGGTCTTTAACCTCACTATCTGTGTTTATATTATAGATAACATCTCTAGTCAGTATACATCTACTGGGTCAAACAGCAGGAGATGATCAAATAGAAATGCCAAAATATAAATGTTTGATATCTCTGGATTTTATCAGGTCTGTTTCAAGGTAAGATTATGCTGGAATTCTCTTGAAGAATTCCTTTGTCAATATAGGCTACATCTCATTTACACAATTTCCTTTTATTTATTTCTTAATTACATTTTTTTCATTAGAAATCTTACAAAAAATATTTCCTAAGAATTGTCAAATAATTCTCTTTCTTTTCAAAATTAAAAAATTTTATATTTTAACCCCTTTTTAGTCTGGATATGACATGTATCAGTATATATTATTATAACTTATCATTTGCTTATAATCTTGTCTTTTCAGGACTGTCAATTTTGATGTTTTGTCTCATCTGTATGATTTCATGTGAAAGGTGTGTACATAGATTTCAACACTGTTTTATGAAATGGACAATATAGTCAAATGGTCTAGAGTGGAATCAACTTGATCTACAAGTATGTTTATATGGTTTGAATAAAATGTTTTGAATTAATTTTTGTCAATGATTTTGTGTTTGAAGAATATAAATGAAGTGATATTTTGTAGTTATTTTGTTTGTTTTGACATTTGAAGGAGACCAACAGGATGTTTAGTCCTGGACTTGTTAACTTACAAAATGTTATTGATAAAAAGTTTATAAATGAAATGCTTATAATTTTGCTATATACCATGGATGCATCTTGACATTTCATGAATTTTATTTTCCTATACATAATTATATATAGGAAAGTCCATTAAAAGACTGTTTATATTGTTTGCCTTTATAGGAAGCATAGGTTGTGTCCCTCCTTTTTATAAACTTAATACTGATTTAGAGACCAAATAAAATGATACGGAAAGTAGGTATGCCAGATGTCCGTATGCTCTTCTTAAGGTTGAAGTTTGTCTCACAAATACTATTAACATCATGGAAGAGATGACAGTCTATATACATGTTATGTCTGTTAAATTTCATGAGACTAAGATATTTAGTACTACATATTGCTCAGGGAAAATATTCAGATGCTGTATTCTTAAATTCTCAAGTCATTATTGTAAGGGCGGAGAAATATTATAAACACAAGAGTATCATTGTCTCCAATGAAGTTTTGGCCTCCTACCCTGAAAAGATATTGATAGTTCTATAGTAAAGCCCACTACCTCATCCTCTTTTCTTATAACATTAACTGTATATTCAAGAAGTTAATAATGACTGTTTGGGCAGAAAATGTTGAGACTCAAAATAATAAACAATGAAATTATGAACAAAAACACTACACTCCCAATTGAAAACTATATTTTAAGTAAGGACGCCCCAGAACACACATAGATTGACATTAACAACCCAATCCAGAGTACTGATGAATTCTGAAGAAATAAGTTTTTTAACTCCAATTTAGTCCAGTTTATCTGTTCCTATTTCATCCCAGCAGATGTAATAACTCAAAATATTAGATAACATTTGCTTTATTTTGACATATTTGATAATATTTGATATTACACATTCCTTTTTCGGTTGAGATTATGGTCACCATAAATCCTGGTATTTTTTATAACTTTGATAAGAAAATTCACGAAGGCACTGGTCTCTTATCTATAGACATGTAACACCCTTGTGTGATGTATGAAACATACTTTAAGAAGCATACCCAGATGAATTCCTATTTCATTCTGCTTCATATATTTTATTTCAAGACTTTTGTCACAGTTTGATCAGCATAATTTTTTTGTCCTTTTAAATATGAAACCATTTATAACACAATATGTCAATGGTTAAACCTTTTATATTCCACAATTCCACCATCTTCACAATGTCAAGCTATTACAGCTATTTGTCTTATAACTTGACACTAAAAGTCAGAAAAGTTTGTAAATGCATCAATATGATGGGATTGTAAGCTGATGAATACAGCCAATTAGAGGTCTCAACAGAAATTCTGTAAACAATTAGCAATAATGAGTACAGATATTTTGTTGAGTGCTCTGAAAAAGTTAAAGCTTTATATTATTTCAAAATGTATATGGAATGGTTCCTTTAATTCTATGACCAGTTTTAACATGACCTTCTATTACAGTTAAACTAATAATTTAGATGTTCTGTTTCAAATAGGATGTTTTTCAAAAGTATATGTAATGTCAACTATTTGTTGTTTTTGTTTGTTCTTAAAGCAGGATATTATGATTCTGAGAATTACTTCTATTCATGCACTCATATGTGCGTAGAACTTGTAAGTTTAAATTGCAACAGCAGTTCAATTGTCCTAATCTTTAGTATATAGGTGCTGTTTTCTCATCAATTTTACAAAATGTTTTACTTATTGATTTTCAGATAGTGGATGATCTTGGATATGGATATTCTGCTCCAATTTGCGCATTCTAAAGCAAATCCATGTGTGATTATGTATTTTTAGCTCATCTTATTTGTAATTTTATTCTCCATCCATGGCTGTGAAATTCTCAGATCTAGTTCTGTAATGGTGGCAATGGTGCTTCAAGTCACTTAAAGATTCCAGGAGTATTTGAATACTTTATAAATTCTCTCATATAATTCTCTGACTCAAAGTTACACTGTATTTTGTGTATTTAAAGCAATTGGAATAGAAGTTAATTGTTGATTGATGTGTCTATTTTTGGCAGTGCCATGTCAAGGAGATCAATTAATTAAAAGAGATATAAATATGAATATTAATTGATTTATGACGTATATACTTCAGCCACTAAAGATTGTGCAGTGATAATTAACGCTTTTAACACTTGACCTTGAGTGGAAGTTTTCCTGAAACCCAGTTTTAAATACAAAATCACTTGATATAATTAATCATCATTTATTTTCCTGGAAACATTGGTTCATTAAACTTCAACATTTAATTGCGTAATTATTTTTACATTGTGATACTAGACCCTCATCAAGTAAATGTGACATTTTTACTTTAAAGTAATGGATCACTGTAAGTATTCAATGTGAAAAAAAGACATATTCAATTTGCTTTTGATTTTTTTAAACTGGAATTTAACCTTCCATTGTATTTTTCTTAGACTACATATAAAAATGCCAATTTAATCGGTTAAATTTAATGTGTTAAATTGTCCATAATTTGAGTTGAGAAAATAAATATTATGTTCTATATTTTATGCTAATAGTGGTGTAATAACTTTGTTTCAGAAATACCAAGTATGAAAATGTATTTGATTGTGTTAACATTTTTAATACTACTTGTCAGTCAATGTGTAGCCATGAATTTTCCACCAATGGCACCATTCTTTTTCTTATGTAACTATCATGGAAATATACAAGAAATGGGAGTTGAGAAAGGAGAAGTAGCTCTCAGTGTTTCAGTTAAGGGAAATCCAGAATTCTATGTTCCTGGTCAATTTTATGAAAGTAAGTTCTTTGGAAACTGTTCCTCTCCTTAACTAATCATGACATAAAGATTAGTTTCTGAATGTTTACAATGGATTCTGCCTTTATCTTGTCTAATATCCTTGTCTTCTTACAACAACATTGGATTTTCAGTTTTCTTTTCCTTTTCTTTGAAATATCAAGTACTAATGTCAAAACACAATGGTTACCTAATTGTATTTTGTGTATCATGTTTAAGAGTGTCTTCAGGTTGATAAAAGTGCCTTTTTTTGTTTTCACTGGAAATTTCTGGGATGGAAAGTCGTTTCTTTCATCAATAGGTGTATGGATTAGAAGATATTTTAAGACCAATGGCATGCAAATGAATAATTGATTTTGGAATTTGTGAATTGAAAAACAAATTCAATTCTGAGATTTTTGGTGTTACCTGATAGAAATAATTTCTATGTTTATTACAGTAACTGTGACTTCCAGTATGAATTTTAATGGATTTTTCCTCACCGGTCTATATTCAATAGCTGATAAAGCTATGGGAGGGATGTATCCTAATCAACAATATGTACAAGGTAATCAACCAGTTGGACAGAATCTCATGTGCTCTATAGTACATTCTCACATAAATTATCTACCAACACATCAACTTTCATTTATATGGATAGCACCTAATGCTGGAATGGGATGCGTAACTTTCTTGTGAGTAGTTTAAGAAATATTTCTCTCTTTGGCCACAGAATTATCGATTTTTGTATATATTATAAAATAATTCTGATTTTTCAACCTATTTTCCCGTGTCACAGATGCAGACATTGGAATGATTTTTCCCATGGCACATCTAGACAAAAACTCATCTTTTCACTAGCTGGAAAATAGGTCAAAATTTGGCACTAATAAGATGTATATGTGAGCTTGCTGTTGTCTGGTTCTTTTAAATTCATTTATTAATTGACATATTCAGCTCCACCTTTTGCATGTGATATTATATTTTTTTAGAGCAACAGCCAATCTACAACAACAGTTATTATTTAAAGATACTGTAGTATTACAACTCTGTGAAGAGGGAGGTATAGTAAATTATTATTGCTCAATATATGCATGATCAATATTATTGATCCATAAAGTTTCAAAACAAATCAAAACTTTTTCAATTTCAATTAAATTTTTTTTACAAGTTCGTAATTTTATTTTTATTTTTTTTATTAAAATATCTTGAAATGTTCTGTTGTTATGGAGATGTAGAGTCTTGTTCTGGTGTTGCTGTTCCTGACCATAAGAGAGATAAATCTTGAAATGTATGCCATGAACATTTTTAACCTTTTCCTATTGATATATCTATATGTATTAAAATTTATAATACTTGTAAAACAATGATTGATCTTGATTCAGATGCTCAAGATAAAAGTTTAAGACCACAATTAGCTGAACTCAATTCTGATCTGGTTATTTTACGAGATGATTTTGATTCTTCTGTCAACTTCAAACCTGATCTTTGGTAAGGAAATAGTGGTTTCTTTATATAGCTTACTTCATTGTTTGATGATGATCTTGTGTGTAAACAATGTAAACTTTTGATATTTACTTGATTACTGATATTTACTTGATTACCGATGATATTTACTTGATTACCGATGATATTTACTTGATTACCGATGATATTTACTTGATTACTGATGATATTTACTTGATTACCGATGATATGTGCCTGTTTACTTCTAGAGATTTTCCAAGATTACTTGATTTAAGTAACTTGTAAATTAAAAGCACTGTCTTGATAATAGGATATTTTATATGTTATAGGAGAACTGTAGAAGGTGGTGATATCAGTGATAAATGTGGAGTAGTATTACATGGTAAATCTGCTGTATTTTGTGATACTGTAGGAAAACGTGTAATGGTGAGTTATGATCTTATTTATTCTGCCTGTTTTTCACAATATCTTTTGATAGATTTATGTTGTTCAATTTTTAGCCTTAAATTTTTATAAAAGGTAAATATTCAAGTTCTCCCTACTGTAAGGTATATATCAGCGTTCATATTTTCTAATACTGACACTTTTATACACCTTTTTGATTACACACTGACCATTACAGCACATAATCTCTTTTGTTTTCGCTCGTTTGGGTGCTCTATTTTTTTTTTCTTGAAGCGCAAAGCCATTATGATAGTCTAGAATGCAATTAAGTAGCTTTGATAGGGTTAGAGTTTGGTAGGGTTTGTGCATACAGTTTTTCAAATCGATATAAACATGTCAAAGGTCTACAAATTGTTGATTATATTTTTCAGACTACAATGCCATTGAATACGACATCTGCCAAAATCTTACAGTTTTCTGTATGTAAGTAGCCGTTAATCTTTGAAAGATATTGCATTTGTGAATATTGTGAATTATATTACTTTTGTGTGGTATATATAATAATAGGCATTATTAATTCTGTTTTAAAGATATATATAAAAAAAACAAACAAAAACAAAAATATTTTTTATATTACAGCGGCTGGTTCTTGTGGTAATAATATAAGTAGGGATAATGATATAGTTATATCATACAGTGATAGTGGTTGTACACAGTTTATTCCTATACAAACTATTAGGTAACTATTATTCAATGTTACAAACAAGTTATATCTACACAAACTATTTACATCTATATGAATTATTTCGTATAGTTACAAAATATTTACATCTACACAACCTATTTACATCTAGGTACTAGTTTTCAATATCAAAAACTATTATATTATTAGGTAGTGTTTCAAACTATTTACACTTTTACAAACTATTACGAATTAATACAAGTTTTATACATCGATAAATGGTATATATTACAAACTATGTACAACTATAAATATTATAAGATGATTTACAAACTATTTCATATCTATAAAAACCAAATAAGAAGAAATTTCAAATTTAATTCTGATTCTCAATTGACTGAAGGATTTAATATTCACAATGTATTTCAGACCACCATTAACCTCAGACACCGAAGTTCACATGATCCATTTGCCATTAGAATCAAGAGGAGAAGGTGTTTGTTTGCAGTGGTTACAATTATCGCTGTCTACCACTACTACCACTACAACTACTATTGCTACCACAACTACCAAACAACCACATACCACATCTACCACACAGAGTACTATAGTACAAACTTCAAGAAAACCACCATCACAGAGACCTCCATTTTATATACCAATTCGTTTTCCAGCAGATCAACCTTACGCACCTTATTCTGGTAGAAAGACAAAGACATCAGGACGTAAATTATTACAAGATGATAGTTATAATCAAGACTATGATAGTTGTTGGGCTATAGATAATATAGTTATAGTCAATACAGCTAACCCTCCCACTGTTTTGGAAGATGATTTTGATCCTGTTGATCCTGGAAATTGGTTATTTTTTCCTGGAGCAAATATTCAGGTATCCATACATTATTATTTTAACAGTCTGGTTAGAATTCAAGACTGCAAGATTTTTTCATGTTATATTTTACTGCAGTAGAAGTAAGATCAAGGATATGTGTAGTAACCTAGTAAAAATTAAAAACTTGACCTTAAGCATGTATATCAGCATTTATATTGTTATCTCCTAAAAAAAGAGCTTTTTGGGGGCTGCAATTGAATTTTTCTTTCCTGTAAGAGGCTTATCCTTGGTATCAATTTTTAAAACTACTTGTAGTGTAGTGCTATTATTTTTACTTTTTCAGCCAAAGTGTCATTCAGATAATAATGCTATTTATTTTAATGATGGAAATCAAACATACAACTATGTAGTTAGTCGTGATATAGACCTATCACCTACTGATATACTGTATGACAGTATATTAACAGAACACTTTGAATCCAAAACTCAATCTGGGTATGTACATTGAACATTATTTATCTTGAACACCCACTTTAATAGATTCACAAAATTATATTAGTTATTTGTTGACAATATATCAATATTTATTAGCCTAGTGGGTTATTGTTCATTTAGTTTCAATATTTATTAACCTTAGGGTGTATGTTGTCGATAAAGTAAAAATATTCATTGAACATAGGTGTTAAATTGTTGAAAAAGTATAAGTATTTAATTAACCTAGGTGGTATATGATTAATAAAGTATAAGTATTTAATAAACCTAGTTGGTATATTGTTGATAAAGTATAAGTATTAAATAAACCTAGTTGGTATATTGTTAATAAAGTATAAGTATTTAATAATTCAAAGTGGTATATTGTTAATAAAGTATAAGTATTTAATAATTCAAAGTGGTATATTGTTGATAAAGTATAAGTATTTAATAAACCTAGTTGGTATATTGTTAATAAAGTATAAGTATTTAATAATTCAAAGTGGTATATTGTTGATAGAGTATAAGTAATAAACCTTGCTGGTGAATTGGTGATGAAGTACAATACAAATATTTATTGGTATAAATATTTCTTCAACTTTGCTGGTATATTGTTGATGAAGTATAAGTATTTGATAAACCTAGCTGGTATATTGTTGATAAAGTACAAATATTTATAAACCAAGGTGGTATATTTTTGGTGGTCATGTTGATATAACTTGTATTTATTATATCTAGGTGGTATATTGTTAGTGATCATGTGGATATAACTTGTATTTATTAAATCTAGGTGGTATAATGTTAGTGATCATGTTGATATAACTTGTATTTATTATATCTAGGTGGTATATGGTTGGTGGTCATGTTGATATAACTTGTATTTATTAAATCTAGGTGGTATATTGTTGGTGGTCATGTTGATATAACTTGTATGTATTAAATCTAGGTGGTATATTGTTGGTGGTCATGTTGATATAACTTGTATGTATTAAATCTAGGTTGTATATTGTTGGTGGTCATGCTGATATAACTTGTATGTATTAAATCTAGGTGGTATATTGTTGGTGGTCATGTTGATATAACTTGTATTTATTAAATCTAGGTGGTATATTGTTGGTGGTCATGTTGATGTAACATGTGGTGAGATAAGATATGGTAACTCTATGGTATTTGATTATGATGGTAAAAGATTGATGTGTACACCTTATATAGACACAACTGTTGCTGATAATCTTCAGTTTTACATTGGAGTTGGTAAGTATTGTTTCAGAGTCATATCCATGTTTAAATTATGATCAGGTACATGATTGGTTCAAGTTCTTTCTTTATAATTTGCACCCAGATTTCGAGAGGATTTAGATGCTTATTGTTATTATGGGTGTTGTGTGAACTGTACTCAAGAATAATTGTATTAATTATTGATCTTGATATATCCTAGTATATTTGATAGGTAGTGGAAATTGTGGAGGTAATGGAGATATTCCAGAAAAGGCCAAAATTGTGATTTATATAAAAGATAGAAATGGACAAACTCAGATAGTGGATACATTGGAACCACCAAGATTTCATGTGGGTACATTTACCATCAACTTACAACAATTTCAAACAGAACTGTATTTTTATACGCCCACACCTCTCTATTTGGACGTATATTGTCGGCACCCCTGTCCCTCCGTCCGTCGGTCTGTACGCCCGTCAACATTTGCTTGTAAACGCTCTAAAAACTAGATTTTTTGATGGAATCAAATGAAATTGGGTATGTGTATACATATTCATAAAACGAAGATCAAGTTCGAATTTGAGCTATTTTAGACCGTTAGAAGCAGAGTTATTGCCCTTGCCCCAAAATCTTGAATATGCTATTACTCATATAGTTTTCAACAGATTTTGATGAAACTTAAAATGGATGTTATTGGACCTAAATCGAAAGGTTTGATAAAGTTTAGTTTACTTCTGATTAAATTTAAGGCTTTTTCAAGATTTAGGCCTCTTACGTCAGTTTTGAGAAGTTATCGCCCTTCAACCTCTATACAGTAAGTGCTTCTATCAACTCGTATACGTTCCGTCCGTCTGTACATCCGTCCGTCCGTCGATGTTTGCTTGCACTTACTACATGCATTGAGTATGCATGGAATATATTTTACTTTCATATCTTCAGGAACCTAGTCTGGTGTCAGTGAAAATTCCGAATAGTGGTAGTTCTAAAATTTGCTGGATACAGAAATACCATAGAGGAGCTGGTTTTGATAGCTGGGCTATTGATAATGTCATTATATTACCTGAATTACCAGTCCAATCTTCACCAAACAGCAACAAAATATTACAATTTAAACTCAATTTACAGTGTGGTATCAATGTTCAACACAATAGGTAAATATCATATCTAATTTACTTGCATATAAAGTCTACCTCTGAGACATTTGGTGTGGCAATGGGGGTTTAATTAGCAATAGCTAGAATTATGCATGAACAAAGGATGCAACCCAACTACAGGATTCAGATAAATACATGTATGCCTCTCAAATAAATTTAAACATAAATGTGTCATGTCATCTGAAAAGTTTTGCTATTTCCAACAAAATTTCTTTTCCTGAGATTATTCATTTTTATACGCCCACATTATAATGTGGTTGTATATTGTCGTCGCCCCGGTCCCGTTGGTCCACAATTGGCTTGTGAACGCAATAGAGACTACAGTTTTTATTTGATTTGAATGAAATTTGGTGTGATCATTTATATTCATGAGATCTTGAACAAGTTCGAAGTGGGCTATCTTTCGATGAACGGTTTTTGAGTTATTGCCCTCGATTTATGAAAAACACGGCAAAATTTGTTTGTGATCACATTAGAGAGTACAGTTTTCATCTGATTTAAATGAAATTTGGTATGATCATTTATAATGATGAGATCTTAGTCAAGATTAAATTTGACAATTTTTCGATAAATGGAATTTGAGTTATTGCCATCTAAATTTGTTAGTGATAGAGATGTTATTTATGTCAGAATTTTATTAAATAATGTGTTTGTTTAAATCAACAATATCTTGCACAAATTAGATTTTTGGAATGATTTGACACAGATAGGTGACTGCCCTTGATACATGTACACTGAAAATGTATCAGGAAAGTGGGCGTATCTTGCTAGGCAACCAGTTGTTTGATTTATTAATGGCCTGTTTTGAATTTTGTTTGTGAATATGTTTTTTTTTTCAGTTTACAGTTAGAATATTCTACTAATCATGGTTTAGATTGGTTACCACTATATACACCTTGTTTACCATCAACTTGTCATGGTACTTATCTCCCTTACCAGTCCTTATTTACCTCCTCTCAGTTATCAGGGTAAGTACCTTACTGTAGACTATAGACCCTAAAACAATGCCCAAAGAAAAGGAGAAAAGTATGCCAATTATCATCTGTGCCAAGCCAAGAGTAAATTTGTCAGGGGTTATTTTTGGCTATATTGTAACTTTCAGTAAGATATCAAATTTGTGGCCATCAGACTGATCAAGATTAGAATTGAGCATGAAATGAGTACTCAACAGTTTTACATTAGTTATACTGCTACTGTTTGTTTATAGTATATCCTTCTATTATAGGTGGAATAGATTAACTCTTCCTGTACCTTATCAAGCTCAAGTACCTCATGTAAGATTTAGATGGCAACAGCTACAAGATTCTGGAGAACCAAACTGGGCTATTGATGATGGTTTGTATTAAGTTTCTCTGCTATCTCTATATTCAGTAACCTCAGAGATCATAATTTAGATAAACAAATTTATTTCTTATTGATTGTCATTGGGAGTAGACTATAGTTAATGATTTGGGTGTAGGCAAGTTTTCTCATTGTATTTCATTTGTATGGAATTACAAATATTTTAGCTCAAACTTATCATTATTGAAATAGTATAAAGTTATTGTATGAAAGTATTCAGTATAAAAATTGAATATGATTTTATTTTTAGTTTATATTGGTGATTGTGAGGCTGGATGTAATGGACATGGTTCTTGTCATCAAGATGGTTGTGAGTAAGTACAAGCTACAGTGTTTTACTGCTAATAAACTCATTTAAACTTTCACAACAAAGTGAAGGATGAACTTAATTATAGTTTTTATACCCCGTCCATCCACAATTGGCTTGTGAACGCGATAGACAACAGTTTTCACCTGATTCGAATGAAATTTGGTGTGATCATTTATATTGATGAGATCTTGGACAAGTTTGATATTCACGATTTTTCGATGAATGGTTTTTGAGTTACAGCCCTTGACTTGTGAAAAACGTGTCCAAATTTGTTTGTGAACACAATAGAGACTACAATTTTCATCCAATTTAAATGAAATTTGGTGTGAATATTTATAATGATGAGATTTTAGTCAAGATTGAATTTGACAATTTTTCACTAAACAGAATTTGAGTTATTAACTCATCAAAATTTGTTGGCGATAGAGGTGACAGTTTATGTCAGAATTTTTTTAAATAATGTGTGTTTGTTTAAATCAACAATATCTTGCACAAATTAGATTTTTGGTATGATTTGACACAGATAGGTGACTGTCCTTGATATACTGAAAATGTTGCTAGGCAACCACTTGTTAAAAAATCGGGTAGACATGTTACAATTTAGTCCTTGTGATTTAAAGAATGTTTTATGCAATTCCTCTAAACTAAGCATTTTATCAAGTCTCTGTCAAATAGACCCCTAAATGTTATTAGCAGATTTAGCAATAGTGACTTCATAAAACACATAATTTACCAGTTGAAATTTTTAATCCAGAAAATGCAGATACATGTACTTTTGTATGTTTTCAAAACTATATTTTGTTTGTAGCTGTGATTTTGGTTATCATGGAATCTTTTGTGAAGATAGTATTGTACCCAACCCAACATCACTGTTGGAGAACTTTGAAAACAATCTAATAGTCCAGTCCTCACAACTACTCTCTATAGAAGGAGGAGAAATAGGTTATAATTGTGGAGTTATATCATCTGGTAAAGCTCTAGTGTTTGATAATAGTGGTCCAAGACAAGTTGAAACCACCTATTTGAATACCACAGAGGCAGTGTAAGTCTTCTTATGTTTACTTGAGGATGTAATGGAAAATTAATTGTTGTCTGTTTCCTTTCAGCTTTTAACATGTTAGTCATTAGGAGATGAAACTCTCGGAAGCACTAACCATGGCATGAGAATTTTTCTTATCTATAGGCGGATTCAAACCCATGTTACCTAATCACCTAGAACAGGACAATCCATATATCAGCTATTGAACATTAATTGATGGTTGTTTCCTTTCAGTTATTTACAGTTTAGTATAAGAGTTGGTAGTATATCAATGACATCTAAATGCCCACCTCCATCCCTGAGTGAATCTGTTATATTGGAAGTCTCCTGCACTGGAGGTGTATATTGGCATTATCTGCGAGAATTTTCTTCTGAATATTTCAAACAACCAATGTAAGATTAATTCCTTCCACATATGAATTTAGGAAATTTAATTTCATAAACAGATGTTCTCTTTTTTATCAATGTCACATGCTTTACATGGTTTTTAAGTGGCTAATAACACTGTCATAATCAAGAATGTTTCAAAATGTCACATATATGTTATTTAGATATTAGTTCCAATAACATAAGGAATGATGGCTTGAAGACTATGGTCATCTAAATGTCTGCAAGAGTAAATATGGTGATGTAGAGTCAAGGAGCTGTCGTAACTATTTTTAACAATGATTTTGCCTCATTTGGACCTTTGAAATATACCAATGTGAAACACATTGGTGTTAAAAATGTCAACCTATTTACAGGATGGACTCTGTTCAGTTACCAGATTTTAGTAAAGGAGAGTCATGTAAGTTTAGATGGAGACAGTTACACCATTCAGGACAAGGACAAGATGTTTGGGCTATAGATGATGTTAGTTTATCTCAGGAGATGACCAATACGTTATTAATAGATGTCAGTGATATGAAAGATATGAGAGATGACCTAACAGCTCATCTTGGTAAACTTGTTGATAGTTATTGTGGTGCTCCAAAAAGCATAACGTAAGTGTCATAAGTATTTCTGCTGATTACAAAAGAAATGCCTGAAATAGACACGGAGCTGATACATGTGTATATGGCTTTCCTACATCGATTTGTAAAATTCATTTTCACAGCATTAGCTTTTAGAAAATATTGTTCATTGTACACCCCACAATAATATATCTTTTGTAGTTTTTCTGGGAAAGAGAAAGTTAATGAGTCGAGATATTTGATGACAGAATCTCTAAATGTTGGCCCATCACAAATGATACAGTTTGATATCACAATGGGATGTGGTGTACCATACAGTAAAAATCGTGATAATCAACTGTATCTGGAGTATAGTTCTGATCACGGTATTTACTGGAATTTAGTGTATGATTCTTGTCTGCCACCAGCTATATGTGAGACATATAAACCTGGAACTGTTTACCATTACTCACAATATTCTCATTGGACTAAAGTTAATATCATACTTCCACCTGATACTTGGTAAGTGGTATTGTTTATATTATACTTCCTACTGATGCTTGGTAAGTGGTATTGTTTATATTAAACTTCTACCTGATACTTGGTAAGTGGTAGTGTTTATATTATACTTCCACCTGATACTTGGTAAGTGGTAGTGTTTATATTATACTTCCAACTGATTCTTGGTAAGTGATAGTGTTTATATTATACTTCCACCTGATACTTGGTAAGTGTTAGTGTTTATATTATACTTCCAACTGATTCTTGGTAATTGATAGTGTTTGTATTGTACTTCCAACTGATTCTTGGCAAGTGGTAATGTTTATACTATACTTCCAACTGATGCTTGGTAAGTGGTATTGTTTATATTATACTTCTAACTGATACTTGGTAAGTGGTAGTGTTTATATTATACTTCCAGCTGATACTTGGTAAGTGGTAGTGTTTATATTATACTTCCACCTGATACTTGGTAAGTGTTAGTGTTTATATTATACTTCCACCTGATATGTGGTAAGTGGTAGTGTTTTATTATACTTACAACTGATACTTGGTAAGTGGTATTGTTTTTTTATGCTTCCAACTGATGCTTGGTAAGTGGTAGTGTTTATATTATACTTCCAACTGATACTTGGTAAATGGTAGTGTTTATGATATACTTCCAACTGATTCTTGGCAAGTTGTAGTGTTTATACTATACTTCCAACTGATGCTTGGTAAGTGGTATTGTTTATATTATATTTCTACTTGATACTTGGTAAGTGGTAATGTTTATATTATAATAGATATTTCATAAGTATTAAGACACATTAATCCTTAATCATCAATATTTTAAGAAAACAAATAGAGATGGTGAAATGGGACATATTGTATGAGCAAATTCATTCTATTTGAAGGTCACCACATACCAGATTTCGATGGATACAACCAGAATGGGGACCTAATGATGCTTGGGCTATCAGAAGATTCTATGTTGGACAACAGTGTCCTGATATGTGTAATGGTCATGGTGCTTGTGAACAAGGTTTCTGCAAGTAAATTATTATGTACATATATATTTAAGATATAAACAAAACAAAACATTTGTGTATATGTTTCTCAAATTGAAGGTGATGAAGAATAATTGCAATGTTATTATATAATATATGTATAAAGTGTTTTAGAAGGTAAAGCAACACTAAAGATCAATTGTATTATATACTATGTCACTTATTACAGATCCTGAGATCACTGATTTGATATTAAACAAAATATCAACAATAAAACCTTGCTTGCAGATGTTTTTCATAGGTCTGTTAGGAATAATTTATTGTAACATGTGGAATTGTAACCTTTCAAGACCATTCAAATTTTCGGAATTTTTTATATGTAAGACTAGTTCTTTAAGATCAGCAGCGGGGCTTCATGGACTGAGATTGATATATTATATTGTTTGTAGATGTGATAAGGGATATATAGATAAGAACTGTCAATCAGCTAGTCCTAGAGAGAGTATTATACATGCTGATTTTGGAATGAGATATGAACCAGAGAAAGATTTTATACAAATAATAGGTGGTGATATAGCTAAAGTTGGAGAAGGTTGTGGTGTAATTGTATCAGGAGAATCTATGTATTTTTATAAGGTAATTAATGTTAGAGAATTTGGAGTTATACCTTTCTGTGAAAGAAGCAGTCATAATTTGCAAGAATAAGAAAAACATCCTTAGCTCAAGGATCATCTCTTCTTGCTTGTCCCTGGCCAAACTTCTCTATGATAGTGTGGTCCACTGGAACAATGACTTTTTCTAGACTACCTAAATTTTCACTTGCAGTTTGACTTAACTTACATTACGTATGCAAACAAGAGTTTCACTAGATTCCAATACCCTAACTAACAGAGAAACTGCTCTTCTCTATATATTTGTAAATTTTCCCTTATTTTCATCTCAGGACAAGTGGTTGTAGATTATATATACATGTTCAATTGTGTTTTGTAGGATGGAGTTCGTGAATTACAAACTAAAGATTTAAATACCACTGTAGATGATTTTATACAGTTCTATATTAGATTGGGTGGTAATGATAAACTATGTAATGGTGGTGATAAAAGAACAGAATCTGTATTACTACAGTATAGTAATAATGGTGGTAATACCTGGACTATTTTAGAGGAAATACATTTCACAGAATTTAAGCAACCAAGGTACCTGTATTTCTTTTAACATTATAAAATTGGATGCAAGATGAAGATTTATGGCACAGTTCCTGTTTATTACTTGCAGAGATTTACATGATGATACAATGCCTAACAATAGTCACATCTGTAAAAAGAACTAGTATGCAAACTTCAAGTAAATAGCAAGTGTGATCTCAATTGATCTTCATGTTTGTTTACATTCCTACATATTGAGTTGAATACCAGCACAATCATGATGTTTAACATACTTAATACCTTCATTACAGATTTGTATTTGTGGAATTACCAGAACAGTCTAAGACTACCAGCACCAGATTTAGATGGTGGCAGCCAGAACATTCCGGTGAACAGAATGATCAGTGGGCAATAGATGAAATATATATTGGACCACATGAACGATTACCACAACTACATGATGACTTTGATGTAAGAATTGTACATGATGATATGATAAACTCATAAAAGGAAACTTAAAGGAAAGCATAGGTGCTTAATAGTGTCATTGATATTGCATTAAATCCAAAGGGATGGTTCACTCTTGTTCTATATCTAATGTCGTTTGGCCTACGTGATACCTAAGTATGTACCATATATTACAAAAGTTTCTCTTAATCACCTCTATAGGCCTCTCCAGATCCGTTTGATTCTGGTCAATGGTTAATGGTAACAGAAGGTATAAACAGTAAATATTGTCAATCTAGTATGCCAGTTATGGTACTTGGAAATCAATTTAATGATAAATATGCTATAACTAAAGATTTACAGTTAAAGATGGGTGATATCATACAGTTTAAGGTACAGTATTTTTTATGTTGGCTGATACTGTCAATATCTATTATCATATAAGTGAAATGTTTCAAAATGAAATTCTGTTCTGACTATAAGATTTCAAAGATCAATGTTTCAGTGTCAGTAAAACTTGAAATGATACAATATAATTTATTTCTTATGGCCATTTAGTCTAAAGAATATCCAAAATATTTTTTTTTACATTTTATGGTTGCTCTCCTATAGATCAATGTTGGATGTGGTCACAGATTTCGATGGAACTATCCTGTAATGTTCCAATACAGTCAGGATAATGGCATGAGTTGGAATCTGGTACAAGAACCTTGTTATCAACAAGAAGATTGTGATGGTGATTACACAGAAGGTAGTCTGTATTATCCAGGTACACATGGTGAATGGACTTTAGTGGTAATACCTGTTAGTAGTAAGATAGCCCAACAGTAAGTAACAGTTTTTTTTGTATGAGTCAAGAGAGCACACTTTATCATTTTTCTTCAGCACATGCCTCCTATACAAAGCATGCTTAGAGCATTAAACTATGTTCTTGAGAAGTACAATCGATTATATAAACAATAGAGGAACCATTATTACAATGCTGCTTTTCATCTTTTTCTTCTTATTCCATTGTATTGAAAGTTTGTGAGGTGCATGCATTAGTTTATGATTTGATTTCAGTCCAGTATTATTTCGCTGGTGGCAGCCTGGTGATATGACCCATAGTTTTGCTCTAGATGATGTATATATTGGACCTAGTTGTGATAAACATTGTCATAGAAGAGGTGTGTGTGTCAATCAACAATGTCAGTGTGATCAGCAATCAGCAGGTAGGAATCAGCAACATTCCATATTTCCTACCAAACTTAAAATGTCAAATTGTATTTTGTATTTGTATTTCATCAATCAAAAGAATAAGACATTTTATAACTTGCACCATTCAGTTCGAATTTAAGTTGTCTTTTGAAGTAGGAAGGAAATCAAACCAGATCGAATGATGACTTACTGCTTTACTGTAGCCCTTTAAGGTAGCTGTTTAACTGTTTATTTCTGGATTCTGTAACACATGTGTTTTGTACACCCAAGCCTTTCCAGTCGTCCAGTGTTATGTTCTTGTATACAATTCCATCTTATACATACATATATTTTATCTTGATAGCGTAAGTGACTATGACTTGTGGCTGTTAGTTATTTTTTGATTGCACATTGATTTATTTGTTTCTGTTTTTCTAGATATAAATTGTCAATCTGATGAAGCTAATCCTAAAGGAATGTTGGATAGATTTGATAATAGAAATCAACCTACAGCCTATTGGAATCAGATAACTGGTGGTTACCTTGGTAGAGGATGTGGGGTGGTAGATTTTGCTAATTCTCTATATTTTAATGGACCTGGTACCAGAGAAGCTAGATCTGATCCTTTAGACACTAGTAGTTTAAGGTTTGTGGGTATTTTAACTCACACGGACATTTCCATCTAAACTTTGGTTTGGTTTGTCTGCTTTTTTCGTTGTTCATAAAGAATATTGCTTGAGTATTATTAAGTTTAGTTACAGAATCAGTCAATGGAAGTGGGAAAAATGGTGCACTGTATCATGACTATTTTTTTCCAGAATGATACAGTTTGTGATCAAAATAGGTGGAGAGAGAAATCAAAAGGGCTGCCGACAACCTCAAAACAGAAATGAAGGGATTATAGTGGATTATTCAGTCGACAATGGAATTAGTTGGAATATATTGAAAGTTATAGAACCTAAAGTATTTAATTCTACAACACAAGTTGTTCAAGTTGAACTTCCTAAAGATTCTAAAACTAACCAGACAATATTTAGATGGTGGCAACCTTTAGGACATGGAGGTAATCTTTGTTGTTGTAAAATCTGATATGCCCTAAAAGTTTAGAGACATCTTATGGTATAGGAGTGTCAAATTAATATTCTGCTGAAGCATATTTTACAGAAATGTTAAGGCCAGAATTGATGTTAAGATACCTCTTCATTCTATTTAATATCAAGGTTGTTTAGAAGGCTATTTAATATTAGGATTAAAATCTATCACATTAAAATTAAATTTACATTTTTAATGTGAGGAGTGGAATACATGTTCCAAATGATTTCAATAAAAAGAGCAAAATTTTTTAACAGAATTGTGAACACAAATTTTCCTTTTTTAGGTATGCCAAGAGCAGAATGGGCTATAGATAGTGTATTAATTGGTGTTAATGATAGTAATACTATAGGATTTCAAGATGAATTTAACATGATGATGCCAGACCCTCATACCTGGTTCCTAGCTGATAGTGCTGTACCTAGAATTACATGTAATTCCAAAGGAAATGCTCTGGAATTTAGCACCAATTCAGGTAAAGTTAACTATAGTAAACGTCTGAGACTCTTTCTAAGTCCAATCATCAATGTTGGATATCAGATAATGTTAGCAGGTGTTGTACAAGAACTGTGCAAACTTTCCACTAAGTATTGTTTGTAACAACTGTTTACCACATCAACAAAATATTTTGTCGCCTAAAGGCTATCATTTGCTGTAAGGTTAAGTTGATTTCTGATGTCTTAACTAATTTAATTCACGATAAACTTATAAAGGAAGATCAATTTCCTATTTTTTAGGATTAAGATATGCAGAGACTTGGGATTACCATGTAACGCCATCAACATTCTTACAGTTTGAAATAGCTATGGGTTGTGGATCACTATATGGTACATTATACAGTGTTATGTTAGAATATTCAGTGAATATGGGTAAAACTTGGCATCCAGTAGTTAGTGAATGTATGCCACCTAATTTTGAATGTAGTGGTTATCATTTATCTAGTGAATATTCTAGTGATCAACACACCAACTGGACTAGAGTGACTGTTTATTTACCACCTGGTGCAGTGTAAGTTAGCTTCAATTATTTGGGAGCTCTGTATAAGTCTATTTGAGGATTCAATGTCAATTAATAAATACACTCTTTATTTTACCTGGCCCAATATACAAGGACATGGTCCTGTCTAACATTCAGCCAAAGGGGATAATATAATGAATGGATGAATGAAAAAAAAATTCAATACACAATACTTCAATGGACAACTTGTTTAACAAATACACAAGTACATGTACATGTGTATTTAATGGACATAATAAGTTGCTGTGATCAAGTACATATACACAAGTACATGTGTATGAGGTGGACAAGTTTATGCTAACATCATCAAGCAAGTACATTACCACAAGATTTTAAGGCATCAAAACATATATATGGAATGTCATCAGGATAACAAATATCTACATCTTTATTAACTGCATATCTATTCCAGTGACATTATTGAATTTGAACTTAACTACGCTCATTTTTGATGACACACTGATGTATGCTGTTCACATATCTTATAAAATCATTTGGTATAAATATTACAACACTTAAACAAATTGTTATATGATTTCTAATTTTACAGAATCAAAATGCATTAAACTGTTTTAAAAATACATTTTACATTGAATAATGATTATTATTGAAACATACTAAACTATTTCAGATCACCTGCTACCAGGTTCCGTTGGTTACAACATACATCACATCCTAGAGGTACAGTGTGGGCTCTAGACAATGTCTATCTAGGTGAGGGGTGTCCATGGATGTGTTCTGGTCATGGGTATTGTAATAAAGGAAAGTGTATGTAAGTTCATGTGTTGTAAAATACTTTTATCAATTGCGAAATTATTTTATTTCATTTGTATTTTTATTTGTTATATTTAAAAATTTTGTGACTGCATTGTTTATATGATGAATCATATTCGCTAACTTTGTTGTCAGCAAGTTTATCTTGTAGGAATAAAATAAGTAAGAATCTGGACGAGCTGAACATGCAACCCAAGAACAACACAAGTCATTGGTGGTTGTCAACTGCAATTTTCGATATATTTCTGTGTACAGTGTGTGGTGTTTGCCAAACTAGAGATGCGCATTATAGACAGTGACAAAATTATTGAATTTTATAAATGAGGTTTCCCAGTTAATAATCTTTGATGGTCGTAGGTGCTAAGTGGTATGTAGATGGTCTATTTATTTCTAGTTGTGATAAAGGTTACGATGGTGATTATTGTGTACCAACTGTACCACTACCAATGATGTTAAGAGATGACTTCAGGTCCAGTGAGATTAATCGTAACAACTGGAGAGAAATATATGGTGGAGAATCAACTGATATTTGTGGTCATCTTGTGGATGGAAATTCTCTCACTTTTCATAAGGTTTGAACCAAGTTCAATCAAGCTTTCTTTGCATGTATCTTCATCAATTCTCTACCAATTGAACATTTTTTTTTTAGAACAAGTAAAATATTGTAGGTTGATCTTATGGGTATTTTTCCATTTGTAACTCATGATCGTAACTGTGTGGAACTGAAACATTAGTCAGTTAAGTGTTAAACGGTTTTCTGAAGATTATAAAGATGAAATTTGTCTAAAAATCAGATATTTTCAAGGGATTCAAAATTATGAAGAATACAGTAAAACAAAATTAGATTAACTATACAGAAAATTTATTTGTTTTATTCAGAATTCATTAAGAATGGGAGTAACTAAAGATATTGATACCTCTATGTTAAATACCATAGAGTTTTATTTTCGATATGGTTGTAAAGGCAAAGAATCAGACTGGCCTCGAACACACAGTGTTTTACTACAATACTCTAGTAATGGTGGAATTACATGGAAATTATTACAGGAACTACATTATAGAAATGAAACAGGCAAACGGTAAGTGATGATTAAAATGATTTTTAAATATAAAAACCTATTGGCATTAGTTTATTATAGTAAACTTGAACAACTCTCCCTGACCGTTGAAATTCACAACAATTGATTAAGTAATAACAATTTCAGTCAATCATTTCTTTACGCAAATGACAAAAACTGTATTATGTGTAATTTTTCTGTTTTTCAACAGCCACAGTATCTACAGGCAAATGTTTTTTCCTCCTTAGTTAGTGACTCCATTTTGAATTTTTATTGATATATTTATGTTACATTACAGATTTTTCAGTATTAATTTACCAATGTCAGCAAGAATGAACTCAACAAGATTTAGATTTTGGCAACCAATGAATGATGGTTTGCACTTTTATTTTATCTTTTCACACATTTCACATAAAATGAAAAGCATTTAATATGACTTTAATATGAGTTTGTAATATTGTTTGTTGTAATGATAGTTTATACTGAAAATAGACATGTACAAAAAGCACATGAGCAAAAATGTATTGAATTGATAAGCATTAAAACTCCAACAGCAACTTAAACTGATAGATTACTTGCACAATTAGTTTCCATTGAAACCTCAGCTACTCTTTATAACACTATTGTAAAATTATACCGTTCTGTAAGTCATGATTAAATTACTGTATCTTGAATATCCAGTTATATGCATAAACTTGCAAGGTCAAAATACTACTTAATCATGATATTTGTAGGTGAAATGCAGAGAACATGGTCAATAGATAATTTGTTTATTGGTACTATGACTAATAATCCTAGTTTACTACAAGATGATTTTACTCGTGATAATGGTGATAATGATAATTGGTTATTTATCAATGGTGGTGAAATAGGGGGATATTGTCAATTTAACAGTCTGTAAGTCAAATTTGAGTTCCTAGTGCTCTATTTTCTTAGTAAAAATATAAAAAAATAAGATGGTAACTACCAAGTTTTAACAGCACAAGTCTGTAAGGACAAATTAGATTTGTCAATGACATGTCAGAGTAGCTGTCACAATAAACCATATCCTATATTAACATACCTTCTTTGAATGTCTTCATGTATTTGCACAAAAAACATCCCTTTATCCCAATAATTATATTTCAGACCATCCACCAATGAATCTGGTATATCTTCTTTAGTATTCAGAAATAATGGTAAATCAGAGAAATCTGTTGTTACTAGGGATTTAAATATTGGTCCAATGTCAGTTTTACAATTTGATGTACGTATATTTGGCTCAATATCAGTTTCTAGGTGTTTGTTGAATGTGGATGCATGGTTATGAATTAGGAAGTGTGTGTATAAATTTGAGTTTTTATGGGGCTAATTTTTGTTTTAGATATTTTACTTTTTTATCAGGTTTGATGGTAAACATTTCTATGTTTAATTGTTAATTGTTTGATTACTAGATCAATGTTGGATGTGGAAGCCAGTCAACAGAGAAATATCCTATATTATTACAATATACCAGTGATGGAGGGAAATCATGGCATTTATTAGTAGAAAACTGTGCTGAAATATCAGAATCACAATGTTTTGATAGTAAGATCCCTGCTACTATTTACTATGGTGGAACAACATCTAACTGGAAAAGAGTTATTGTTCCTGTTGATAATATTCATCTTTGTGGGTAAGTGCTTTGAATACAAGGCGTCGCTTGATAGTTCTGCACTTTCGGGATTTATGGAATCAACAAAACACTTTGGAACAGTGTTCAGCTCACTTCCATGTGTGCCAAAAAAACTGTAGTTGCAGTCAGAATTCAAAATAGTGGAGCAGGAAATTTTGAATGCGACATATACGCTTCCATACCTGTTGATTGGGGGCAAAATTTAACCTGTTCAGAACTCATCAATCAAATGCCACCATAGTATTTGGTGTTTTATGATAGATCTGTAGCATGCTAATTGGTTTTGGAGTCAGGAAATATAAATATTTCTTGTGACCATAGTACGTATCTGTAGAATCATAGGAAAACCTGATATCAGCTTCAAATCTGAAAGGTGATGCAGTTAGCTGACGTCAAACAAATATTAAGATCACTATAAATGAAATTACGTTGTGTTTCTGTTGTACAATCAGTCAATTGTAAGGGTATAAATATGCCTAGTGATTTATACAGACAAAGGCTATAAATCTTAAGGCAATTGATAATCTTAAAATTCATGTTTTCTTGTACTAATAAAATAGTTTTTACATGTAATGGAGAAGTTTGTAATTTGCAGGTCTGTAAGATTTCGGTGGTATCAAGGAAATATACCTGAGTATGACTATGGACCAGAATGGGCTATAGATAATGTATTTATTGGAATGTCATGTTTAAGTCATTGTAATGGACATGGTCGTTGTAATGAGTATATGATGTGTGATTGTGATGAAGGCTATGAAGGAATGTTTTGTGAACCGGTACAAGCTAATCCTACCTATTTAAAGGAAGACTTTGGATTACCTGTACTATTGCCTTACCCATTTCGTGGTGATTTACCTCTTGGTCCTTTAAATGATGGTAAGTAGTAGTTCAACATAATAAATATTGTCCCCAATTTAGAGTTTGGACATTGAGTATCCAGCAAAATCCTCAAGATAAGTGACTTATAATGATCAAAAGGTTAAGAAGTCATTCTTAATATTGAAATCTACATGTAAGATTATTTTATTTGTGTATAGCTCCCAGTGAGTTAGATGGTAAGAAGTGGGCTGTATGGAGTAATGTTGATGTGTCTACCAAGTGTGGTCTAGTATTTACTGGTCCCAGTCTATATATGAATAATAATGGAGAGAGGATTTTACAAACTAAAGAATTGAATCTTGTTACTGTAAGGTATGCAATTAAATGTTTAAATGAAAGGAAATATAAATAGTCATATATATACATATATCTAATTCTGCATTTTAAAGAATAGTTTAATGGTTAGTTGTATTTTATCTGTTCATGTTGCTCTTTCTGTTTACAGTTCAGTAGAGTTCTATCTACAACAAGGTTGTCATCATCCCACCAACCCTGCTTCACCTATATATTTACAATACACAACTGATGGTGGTATACATTGGACCACTATAGAACAATTTGATTTTCACATACATGGTCATATATCTAAATATATAGCTATACATCTACCCCCTGGAGCCCGAACACAGTCCACACAGATTAGATGGTGGCAACCCAGTATTGATGGTACATTTGCTGAAACTTGGTCTATAGATCAAGTAAGTTTTGTTTCTTTATGTCCACTTTCATCACTTAAACATTCAAGATTGATCCATCATTTTAATCCCATAGTATATATAACCTCAATTGAAGATGAATTTCATAGTTCTATAAATATCATTACAAGTTCTGTATTGTTTGAATATGTAAATATTATTTCTATTTATTTAATGATGAATATAGTTGTACTGTACAGACTTTTATATTTACTAGATATATATTGGAGGTGATATATATAGAGACCAGGTATTACAAGATCAACCCATGGTACCAGAAGATTCCTCCTGGCTAATGTTTCCTGGTGGTATAGTAGAATCAGTCTGTGATTCACCATTCCTGGCACTACACTTTAAAGGTTTGGAATTATTATATTTTCTACATTTGTCTGTAATAGAATTATAGTTATGCACCTTCAGTAGCAGCCAAAGTTCTGGGGTCACAATTGAAAAGTTTATATAATTCATTGTGATGAACATTTTTTTTAAATGCTTTAAAGAATTGTTGTCAGATTATTATAATTTTCAAAAGATCTTGGTATGATCTCTCTATTACGTCTAATATTGCAACTATATCTAATATTTTGTGGGTTATTATTACAGAGAAAGAGAAGATGAGGTATGCAATATCTGCTGATGTTAGTATCAAAGAGGGAACATATTTACAGTTTTATTTAGCTATGGGTTGCCAACAGCACAATCAGTGTTTCAGTAAGTTACCCCAATCATATCTGTCATTTTGTTTCAATGTAATTATCAGGAAAAGACTGACACTAACCAATACAGTTATAGCACTAGTAACACTGCAGGTATTTCAGAAATATACACTAAGTGTTATGACATCATTTATTACACAGTGCAATAATCTCCCTTTAGATGTTTGTATTTTATCATAAACATTTGTTTTAGGTATAAGAGTGGAGTTTTCGTTTGATATGGGTAAATCTTGGAGTTTACTGCAACCTGCCTGTGTACCCTCCGATATAGATTGTAATAGTTATTTTACTAGTACTGTCTATAGTTCAGATATCTATTATAACTGGACAAGAATAACTATACCTATACCATATTATGTAAGGTAGGTACACATGCACGAATGTGGTATGAATCAGCCACAGAACAAACATGAAATGAAAACTTTAAATATGAAATATAAATGGCTCTTTTGTCTTTATGATGGTGTTCTCTATCTGTCTCATAACCAAAGAGCAGATGGCCAATTTATCTTTTCCTGTTTACAATATTAATTTCTTATCAAAATCATTTGAAACTTTCAGATCTAAATCTACAAGATTCCGCTGGCTACAACCAGATGACTTCAATCCTAGTAATACATGGGCGTTATCTCATCTGTATATAGGTAATGGTTGTACACAGATGTGTCACGGACATGGACGCTGTTCCAATGATTCTTGTATGTAAGTAATTTTATTTGTAAAGTTTTCATGGTAATATTGTTTTATTAATCAAGGTGCAGTGTGATTTTAAAAAGTTAAAAATAACAACATGTGTTGAAAGGATGTCACAAATCAAGTTTTTTTATATGATGCTTAAGGAATTGTAGAACATTTATGATATTTTTTGAGATTAATATAATCAAGAATTAATGCTAATTGATGATGATTATTACTGTAAATTTTATAAATGGGATGAATTTTATTAATAGTTTAATTTATTTAAGGATTGAATATAGATTTATTTTGGTTGTTTGTTGCAATATTCTCACATGTTATAGGAATGAAAGGTGAATTGTTATTTGTTATTATTAATGTTATAGATGTGATGAAGGTTGGAGTGGTATATCATGTAATATATCAACATCACCATTACCAGATATATTAATTGATGATTTTAATGTTGAGTCTACCAAGAATTGGATAAATATAGTTGGTGGTGAAATTGTTACACCATGTTATAATTTAGCTTCAGGAAAAGTTTTACATTTTATTGGGGTAGGTATTTGATGTTGATCTATGTTAGATTTGATAGAAATGTTTTTGCACACAGTGTATTTCTTGCAATTTTGGTGCGGAAAAAGGCCATTGTTCCGGATGTGTTCTGAATGCCCTGTTTTAGTTTTAATGGGCTAAGTCAACAAAAACATTTGGGTCATATTGTAACAAAATGTTATGTTTTATTACAGGATTGTAATCGTGTTCTAATTACCAGAGATCTAGATCTACACAACTCAATGTTTATCCAGTTTTATTTTATGTTTGGTTGTAATATGCCACCATTATCTAGAAATGAAAGTGTTTTATTAGACTATTCTATCAATGGTGGAATTACCTGGTCACCAATAATAGAATTATATTATAATTTATATACTTCACCAAGGTAGGTTTTATAATGACCACAATTTGCTATTTTCACCTTATAGGTTTTATTATGATTTCAATGGATCATATAGGTAAAGTAGATTTATATATTGCAATATATTTGTCACCTAATTACATGTATGTTTTAAAATGAGTATATTTTTCAATAATTGTATGATCATCTCATTAGCAAAATAATGTTCTATTTCTATTTTAAGTTTTATAAGTTTGAGAATTCCCCAAGCAGCTAAGGCAACCAGTACTAGATTGAGATGGTGGCAACCACAACATCAAGGTCCACAACTTAGTGATTGGTTAATAGACAGTATTAGGATCAATGGAGAAGAGATCAACCCAAAACAATTCAAAATGAACAATAGTGATCCATTAAACCCAAAAGATTTTACAACATTTGACCATATGAGTGCAGGGGAATATTGTAAAGAACTGAATGCCATTAAAGGCACTACAGTGAACAACGAACCTTCTTCCTTAGTAACAAGGGAAATAACTCTAAATAAAGGTTATATGTTGCAGTTTATGATCAATGTTGGTTGTGATATACCTAGTAATGTTTCAGTTAGTCCAGTACATTTACAATATTCTACTGACCATGGTTTGACGTGGAAATATTTAATGCCACAATGTCTACCTAATGATCCCCATTGTACTACCGGTGTTAGTATGCCTACGATATATTATAGTTCTCCTGATTATGAATGGCAGCGAGTCATATTACCGCTACATGGATTACCTGTGTCTAAGTAAGTATAATTCTTTAGATGTAATATGAGACTTGTTTAAGACGTGTCTAATAGTATGGTTATGTTTGAAGTGATATTGTTTAAGGTATATCTGTTTAGAATAGACAGGTTATAGACTATTTATGTCCACTTATGAGCTTGACAGTATTGCAAAAACACCCTGTGTGTTTCAGTATGGCATCATTTGACAAGATATCCATAAAATGTTCTTCCTTCATTTTTTAAACAGTGGTACAAGATTCCAATGGATTCAACCATATGAGGGCCAATCAGTACCGTCAACATGGGCCATTAAAGATATATATATTGGACCAGCCTGTCCTAACTATTGTAATGGACATGGTTACTGTGATTATCCTACATGTATATGTTATAGTGGTTATGGTAGAGATGCTTGTCAATCTATTTTATATCAAAATAATCCTGTAAGTACGATCCTCAACTTCTGCTGGGTCATTCTGAAATGTGGCTTTTTTTCACACTGGCAACATAAATTGCATTAAATCTGTACTAGGACACCTTCTAGAGGCTCATCCACCTAACCCATCTTTGAAGGTTTTGCTCGTTACCACTTGACAATTTCATTAAATGGTATTATTTTTATTTAATAGACATACTTAAAAGATACATTTGATAAAGTAGCTGTAAATCGTAGTAAATGGTCATCAGTACAGTCGGGTAGTGTTGGTATAGGATGTGATACATTAGTAGAGAAAACAGCATTAGTATTTAATGGTACTGGTTTAAGACAAGCAGTTACTGTAGATCTAGATTTACGCAATGCCAGGTGAGACAAACATCAGCTGATTAATATCCTTTGAGGGAAATAGACTTGCTAGTTAGAGATACATTATACATCATGGAATGAAACCTAGGAGTGCATAAGTTTCCAGCCTAGGATCCAAAATTGACATTTTCTGTGGAAAATAAAGGCATTTAAAATTATTGTTTTGTAGATTTATTTAATATACAATTGCTTGTTTATTTTATAGAAAAGTTCAATATACAGCTGTTTGTTTATTTTAGAGATTCATTATTCATTTGTAGATTTATTCTAGATACAGGTGATTGTTTATTTTGTAAAATTATACAAAATACAACTGTAATTGTTTATTTTGTAGAATTATTTAATATACTACTTACTGTTTATTTTGTAGATTTATTCAATACACAGCTATGGTTGGTTATTTTGTAGATCTTTTCAATATACAGCTTAAAGTTTACAACTATGATTTTTTATTTTGTAGATTTATTCATTATAAAACAAAATGTTTATTTTGTAGATTTATTCAATATACAGCCTGTTGTTTATTCTGTAGATTCAATCAATATACAGCTAATTATTTATTTTGAAGAGTTAATCAATGTACAGCTGATTTTCATTCTGTAAATTAATTCAATCTAACAGAAAGCTTTGGTTTTTAATTTGTAGATTTATTCAATATATAGCTGATTGTTTATTTTGTAGAATTATTCCATATACAGCTTAATGTTTATTTGTATATTTGATATACAGCTGATTGTTTATTTTGTAGATTTTTTTAATATATAGTCTTGGTTGTTAATTTGTAGGTTTATTCTATGTACAGCTGATTTTATTATTTTGTAGATTGTTTCAATATACAGCTTTATGTTGTTTTGTCTATTTATTCAATACACAGCTGTGATTGATAGATTTGATATTGCTGATTTATTCAATATACACATGATTATTTATTCTGTAGATGTATTCAATATACAGCTTAATGTTTATTTTGTATATTGATTCAATACACAGCTATGATTGATACATTTGATTTTGTAGATTTATTCAATATTCACATGATGATTTATTTTGTAGATTTATTTAATATACAGCTTAGTTTTTATTTTGCTGATCTATTCAACATGCACATGATTATTTATTTTGTAGATTATTCAATATACAGCTTAGTTTTTATTTTGTAGATTTATTCAATATACACATGATTATTTATTTTGTAGATTTATTCAATATACAGCTATGATTGGAGGTGAAGGACAGGAATCAGGATGTTTTATACCTAATTCTAGAGATCAAAGTATTATCTTACAGTTCTCCACTGATGGAGGTAAGCATGCATTAAGTTATTTATAGTTTGCTTCTCTTTAAATCTATTTATCTCCCTTAGATTGCTACCTTGATTTATAAAGATAAAAAGGTAACAAGCACACTAAATGATTTGAATGCATTTCCATGCCCTGGTGTTCTGGATCTTACAAGAAAATTTTTCTACATATCTGTGATAATTTGTGATTTAGCCAAGTGTGAATATATATTGAAAGTACTGGTCATCATCATTTTGTTATATTTCTTTTAGGTATATCATGGAAGACACTATATACATTAGATTATTTAAGTTATGTACAAGCTAGACACGACTATATAGATTTACCTGAACAAGCTAAAACAGCTAGTACTCGTATAAGATGGTGGCAACCTTTACCAACTGTACCTAATAGAGATAGACCAAACTGGGCCCTGGATAACGTTTTTATAGGTATACAAATTTTCTTTCAAATTTTATACATATTTTGTGCAAGCCAGCAAATATTCACACATTTTTACTTTATAAGCATTAAGTCATGAATTTATTGTCATAAATTGATACATGTAGGCTTATTTTGTCAATTTTCTTGTTGTTTTTTTTCCATTTAAGTAGCTTGTCGATATTCTTTAAGTAAGCATCTGACAAAGCCAGGAACCATAAACAAGCAGGTCATGTGCCATTTGAATATTATTGTATTGATTGTGTATTATTTAAGGTGGAAGTGAGATAAATCCAAGTGTATTCCAGCAATCCTTCAATGATTCCAAACCACAGAATGATGCTGGAACTAACTGGGAATTCAGTCCATATGCTAGTATGAAGAATGATATGTGTGCTCGGAATGACAATGTTGTATCATGGGAAGAAGGGAAGGGTAATCGTCTGTTTACCACCAATCAACTAATAGTACAGTCTGGTTATATGTTACAGTTTAAAGTAAGTTTTATAATATTAAGAACATAACATTAGTGGACAAAGACAAATAGAAATTTATCTTTCCTCACCATTCCTCAACTTGTAGACAGGACTCTCAAAAGCCTTTGTAGCTATCCTTATAAAGAATGGTATTTCTTTCTTTCCTAGTATTATGCATAGATGGCATTCATTTTTCCAGTTTGAACTCAGCTATTGACCCTTTTCAAATGTTTTTCAACACAGCTGCTAAGTTTGTATGTTCAGCTATCATGTAGGTTGATAACAGAGACATTGGAAAGGAATTTCATGTTATATATTTTGTTATTTGATGTATTGTTGAGTAATTGTAGATAATGAAAATATCTTTTGTTGTACAATTATAGATTGGGGTAGGATGTTGTATAATTATAGATTGTAGTAGGATTTTTTGTTGTATAATTATAGATTTTAGTAGGGTGTTTGTTGTACAATTATATGTTTTGGTAGGATGTTGTACAATAATAGATTGTGGTAGGATGTTTGTTGTATAATTATAGATTGTAGTAGGATGTTTTGTTGTACAATTATATATTTTGGTAGGATGTTGTACAATTATAGATTTTGGCAGGATGTTTATTGTATAATTAAAGCTTGTGGTAGGTTGTTTGTTGTATAATTATGGATTGTGGTAGGATATTTTGTTGTATAATTATAGATTGTGGTAGGGTATTTGGTTGTATAATAATAGATTGTGGTAGGGTGTTTTGTTGTATAATTATAGATTGTGGTAGGGTGTTTTGTTGTATAATTATAGATTGTGGTAGGGTGTTTTGTTGTATAATTATAGATTGGGGTAGGATGTTGTATAATTATAGATTGTAGTAGGATGTTTGTTGTATAATTATATGTTTTGATAGGATGTTGTACAATTATAGATTTTGGCAGGATGTTTATTGTATAATTATAGATTGTGGTAGGTTGTTTGTTGTATAATTATGGATTGTGGTAGGGTATTTTGTTGTATAATTATAGATTGTGGTAGGGTGTTTTGTTGTATAATTATAGATTGTTGTAGGGTGTTTTGTTGTATAATTATAGATTGTGGTAGGGTGTTTTGTTGTATAATTATAGATTGTGGTAGGGTGTTTTGTTGTATAATTATAGATTGGGGTAGGATGTTGTATAATTATATGTTTTGGTAGGATGTTGTACAATTATAGATTTTGGCAGGATGTTTATTGTATAATTATAGCATGTCGTAGGTTGTTTTGTCATATAATTATAGATTGTGGTAGGATATTTGTTGTATAATTATGAATTGCGGTAGGATGTTTGTTGTATAATTATAGATTGTGGTAGGATATTTGTTGTATAATTACAGATTGTGGTAGGGTGTTTTGTTGTATAATTATAGATTGTGGTAGGGCATTTTGTTGTATAATTATAGATTGTGAAAGGGTGTTTTGTTGTATAATTATAGATTGTGATAGGGTGTTTTTTGTATAATTATAGATTGTGGTAGGGTGTTTTGTTGTATAATTATAGATTGTAGTAGGATATTTGTTATACGGATTGTGGTAGGATATTTTGTTGTATAATTATAGATTGTGGTAGGATGTTTGTTGCATAATTATAGATTGTGGTAGGGTGTTATGTTGTATAAATATAGATTGTGATAGGGTGTTTGTTGTATAATTATAGATTGCAGTAGGATGTTTGTTGTATAGATTGTGGTAGGATGTTTGTTTTATAATTCTAGATTGTGATAGGATGTTTGTTTTATAATTCTAGATTGTGATAGGATATTTTGTTGTATAATTATAGATTGTGGTAGGATGTTTGTTGCATAATTATAGATTGTGGTAGGGTGTTTTGTTGTATAATAATAGATTGTGGGAGGATGTTTGTTTTATAATAGATTGTGATAGGATGTTTGTTTTATAATTCTAGATTGTGATAGGATGTTTGTTTTATAATGATAGATTGTGATAGAATGTTTTGTTGTATAATTCTAGATTGTAGTAGGATGTGTGTATAATTATAGATTGTGGTAGGATGTTTTGTTGTATAATTATAGAATGTGGTAGGATATTTGTTGTATAATTATAGATTGTGATAGGATGTTTTGTTGTATAATAATAGATTGTAGTAGGATGTTTGTTGTATAATAATATATTGTGGTAGGATGTGTATATAATTATAGATTGTGGTAGAATGTTTTGTTGTATGATTATAGATTGTAGTAGGATGTTGTATAATTATAGATTGTGGTAGGATGTTTGATGTATAATGTTTGTTGTACAATTATATGTTTTGGTAGGATGTTGTACAATAATAGATTGTGGTAGGATGTTTGTTGTATAATTATAGATTGTGGTAGGATGTTTGTTGTATAATTATAGATTGTCGTAGGATGTAATAAAGTATATAATGTGTGTGATGACAATAAACCAGTAAGACTTGAGTTCAACAAGAACCCTATGTCTACAGCTTGGAATTTAGTAAGAACATTATGTGGACCAGACTCTAGTAATAAAATGGAGTGTAGATCACAACATCAACATGATGCCAGTATATACTCTGTTTCTAGTCATCCTAGTTGGACCAGAATAACCATGAAATTACCAGAAAAAGTCTTTTCTTCGTAAGTTAAAACATTGACATCTTGTAACTTAAATAATTAACTATGAATTATTAATTATTGAAAGGATTACATACCTGATGTACATATGGCAGAAAGAATTAATAATAGCATTCTCAAAGCTCTGAATACAGTTCAGCAGAAAAGATAATGACAGGTAACCTGTGATGCTTACAATACATATATAAATTAGTTTAGTTTCCTATGAATTCCATGTTTTATGTCAGATCCACAAGATTACGTTGGAGACAAGAAGGTATCCAGTCCCCAGCACCAGGATGGTCATTAGATGATATCTATGTTGGTGAAGCTTGTCCAGATATGTGTAATGGTAGAGGTGATTGTAAATATGGACATTGTGTCTGTGATAAAAATTATATAGGTATGTAAGAAAGGTTCTTTTATAATGGTAGTCATCTGATATCACAAAGACTGGATGGTAGCCCTAATGAATGTTCAGATTCAATCTCAGCCAAGATAGAATTGTAGATTAGGCAAACCTGTCACCCTTATCGCTATCATTGATACAGGTTGAACATAAGGAAAGCACAAAAGGCCTAGGTGTAAGTGAAAGCTTCAAAGATTGTATTTCCTTGAAAAGTTGGAAATTAGAAAAGAGAATAATTTTGCTGTTATCTGTAACCCAATCAGTTTCAGAAAACTTAAGACTTTATTTCAAAACACTGAAAACCAAATACCAGTACTGAAACCTTTTTGCTTCTGCTGAGAATGAGTCTGTGTTTTATTGTAGGTAAAACATGTGTACCTATTAAATCTAGACTACCATCTAGAATGTTTGAATCATTTGAAGGTGGTATATTCCCCTCCCACTGGTATAAAATAACAGGTGGTGGTATAGGTTTTGGTTGTGGAGCTCTATTACCCTATGCTCATGGTAAAACACTATATTTCAATGATTGTGGTATTAGACAAGCTATTACGGCAGAATTTAATTTACAATCTGCATCGTAAGTGTTGTTTTATGTTCTTAATCACAATATTCTGAAGATTGTATCACATCTGAAATAGCAACAACAGAAGATTGTATGAAGGGCCTTGATTAAAATGCTATATTGTGGGGAACAATTAAATAAAAATATGTGTCACTTGTTCTTATGTTTTTGCAAAGTCACGGTCTTGTTATACTTAATCCTTAAGAGTAATTAAATAGTTTGATAAAAAATGTTTTCTTTCTTTCAGTAAGATAATTTTTGTGCTGCAAATTGGCTGTAATGCTCAAACACATAATTGTAATGTACAGTTAGGAGAGGGGTCTGATTTTAGAGGAGTCCTGTTACAATACAGTCTCAATAAGGTACATGGTTTATTAAAGATATTAAAATTATTGCCACTAGGAATACTGTGTTGACACTATAAGGAACAATGTTGCATCTTGCAATTCAGAAGAAGATTATCAAGTGTATTACTACTGACAGCCAAACAGTATTCTTGAACTCCATGTTCAGTTTCCTATAATATGTCAATGTTCTTGATGCAAGTGTTTCAAAGTAAATTTTCCAGACATTTCTTGCAAGTTGACTGTTTTAAATGAACCCAAAATCTGTTCTAAATTGATTTAATTGGGTATGTATTTTCTAGGGAGCTGATTGGAAGTTGTTAGCCAGACATGATCCTGAGAAATTCCTGAAACCAAAACGAATGGCGTATGACATACCTAGTGATGGTAAAAAGGTAGGAGTACAGTTTAGATGGTGGCAACCAGTACATGATGGGAAAGGTTTTGATCAATGGGCAATAGACCACATTGAAATTGTAAGGTAAGACTAAAATGGCAGAATGAGATTATGAGACAGTTTCAAAGCTAATCTTGATGATAGCTTGTTGGTTTCAGCTTCCTGTAATCCAAGTTTAAATGAGGCATTAGAATGTCTTTGGTCCCCTAAATACATCCCCCCCCCCCCCCCCCCCCCCCCCCCCCCCACCCTTAAACAAAATGTCAATTGTTATTTTTAAATAAATTAATTCGTTTTACAGAGACAAGGGGAGTCTTTGTTGAGACAAATAATCTTGAACTTTAAATTCGTCGAGAAATGTCAGGAAATCAGGCTTCCGCGCTCTAATTGTCAAATTTTTTTAAGCGGCATACCACAGACCCTATACAAATGATCTTGAACCTTAAATTTGCCAGGAAATTACATGAAATCGTGTTTCCGTGCGTCTAATTCTCAAAATTTTCTAGGCAAGATCCCTTGGACCCAATACAAATAATCTTGAACCTTAATTCATCGAGAAATGTCTGGAAATCGCGTTTCCAGGCATCTAATTCTGAAATTTTTCTGAGCGGCATACCACAGATTCTATACGAATAATCTTAAAATCGCAGGAAAATGTCAGGAATTTGCGTTTCCAAATGTCAAAATTTTCCTGTGGTGTTCTCAAAATCCCTTAACAAATAAACCATAAATTCGCCTAGAAATGTCACGAAATCACGTATCAGGGACTCTAATTCCCCCCTCCCTTTAGAAGTACTTGGCTGGCTACGGGTCTGATAGCATAGCATAGAATCTCTGTGAGCACCATATTATTATTCAGGCTTAACATCAGGAGTTCAGCTTTACATTGATAAATACTGGTAAATCAAAACACCGCTATATTTGTATTTCTAGATCACGAAATCATTACAACAAAAAACATAGAAGAGGATAAACGTGAAAATAGAACAGACTTAACAGACAATGACTTATAGCCTGCAAATATTATAACTTATATAAGAGAATATTGTTGCATTATAATAAAGACACCAACATGTGTTTTTTTTTCCTGATATTTCCCTTTCGGATATCAATTTGTCTATCACAAGTTGAGGTGATGTCATGGAAAATTATAGTGTGAGCATTATAAACACACTGATTCATATATTGATAAAGATGAACTTTGTTGGTTGGTAGGTAGTTAGTTAACAACCACTACCAGCTGAAGCTGATACAACAGATTATGGTGGACATAATAAAGGGGGTTAAATAACAAATATCTTATATGAAGAAAAACAATGAACCTATGGGTCATACATCTGCTGCAGCTGGATCAGATATGATGAGATAATTTAAATGCCCTAACCTACTGGGTTTGCCTTTTTAAACTGAGATCTACGGGATGCAGTATCTTGACTAGTTTTTTGTCCTGTAAAATCTACAGGATCTTTCTTTAAGAACCATAGTTCTGGTGTTGAGTGACCAGAGAAGGCGAATTCGGCAAGATATGAGCCTGAGGGAGGACACACTGTCTCATGGTTAGTGTAACATGTAGACAGAATGTTCTTCCTGAGAACAGTTGCCATTTCAATGTCTCTTCCTGGGGATGATTCCTCTTTGTACCGTGGTCTAGTTTACGAAATGACTGCCTGGTAGTTAAATGCACTTATGTAGACTACCATAAGTAAATAGGTCTTCTGTATCACCAACGCTCCTTTTCTAGAAATGTTGTTTGTAGTGTCATTATACAGGATAGTTCAGCAGCAACATAGCGGCTTTATAGCATCTCACTCAAGGGAGGACACACTGTCTCATGCTGATATCGGGGCATGGAGACGAGAGTGACTTCCCCTGAGAGAAAACTTGGGTTTGCTGTATTACTTTTTTCAAATCTTCTGTGTGGAACTGTCGATAGGACAAATGTGCCAACAGTTTTCGTAACCGTCATGGTTCGTGTCCAAATACTTAAGTACTGAAACAAAAACGTTGTTAGAACATAATATGAAATGACCACCTACATTTGAACCTGCAACAAACTGTAAAAGATTACAACCCAGCTTTTGACGTCTTGCTGTCCAAACTACCACGAAATATTATTACCTATATTCTTTTCTCTTCTGGCTACTTATGATGAAACTTAGCGACAGGTGCATTGCCTTCTCTCAAGTCCAGTCGTATTCCGTTAAATGTATATTCTTAGACATGATCTAACTCGTCAGACTGGACATAGTCAACACTACAAAATATTGGTCACTATATGTTTATTTTTCCAACCCCTTCACTTCAGCAAATATCTTAATTTCTTCAAATATTGTGTTACTAATAACATCGAGTCTATAGTATGTAATGATACGACCATAAACCTATTAAAATTGGGTTCACATATCGAAAGTCAACACTTAAAGCGATTAGGAGAGCGTTCGAGTGGACGAAAGGCACACACTGTCAAGTATGATTTTAACGTGTTTTGGAGTGAGGGTAAGATTTATTTACAACGTGCGTCTCACTCCACCTCAATTTAAGTCTGGTCGTTCTGGCACATGATCAAATAAAAGAAAATCGGATTCACTGATAGCATCCATACCCATGTATAACTGAGCCAAATTCAATAATGGGACAAGGAGACTTATTCAAGTACACCATACTTTACTTCTCCCAAATAAAGAAGAACCCTCAATTTCAGAACAATTTTCTTTCGGAATATCATTGCTTTTCGACACTGATGATGATAAAATATTTGATTTCTAACATATAAAAAATCCAGTGGAGAACCCCAGAAAGCAAGTAAAGAAACTTACTTGATACAGGCGTTGTAAAGTAATGAGCCAAAATTATTTGGTAATAAGGTGACATCTAAAAACTTGTATAGAAAATAACTAGTAAGATAGAAATATAACTCGTTATAAAAGTTTAGAGGGACTTGAAGCTACAGGCTAATTGGTAAGCTATAACAAGACTTTAAATGACTCTTTCAAGAAAAAATCTGAAAATTCCCTAAGGCTAAGTAATAACTTTACTTTTTTATATTAATGGACCTCGTCATTTTTTGACCTGGATATTTGCCTTAACTAAAATGTGTGAACCGAGCTATATATGTACATACCAACTACATCTAAAGTAGGCCTACATAACTGTTTAAATCAAAATCTATTCATTTGTCAGTTTTCACTTGATGTATGTGTGAAATTTGTTTTTAAAAACGCTAATTGTCATTGTTAATGTTTCACCTTACTGTGTCTATTTTAGGAAACAAAACCACATGAATACAATTCATTAGCTTAAAGGATTACCAAAAAAGTGAAGCCTTAAAGTAACAAACATAATGACGTCATTTTGGTGGGTAACCTCGGTCTGTGTAGCTGACAGTAGCCGTCGATACGAAAAGTTGTTCAAGACGTTCTCTGGTCAGGGGTCAACACCATTGAATCGTATCATACATTGATTGTGATAAAGTTATACCCCTTTTATCGAGAAAAGCTGCATATTGACCCACTATGGGTGTCCGTTTATCTTTCAAAAACAGAAATCCTCATTGCAAAGCTCCAGAGCGCCGTGAGGTTCCTGGTCTTATCTTTTACACCTAAAATCTGTAACCTCTGTCTTTAGACCAGCCACATTTAATAGCAACATAAAAGATGAAATTGTAAATCAGGGGCGTTAATTTTTTAAAACCCACGATTAAAACAAATTATTTATTCTCCCACTTAATAAACGGCTGATTCAGCATAAACTGTCATTTTAACAAGTTGGGTGTTCAGAAGAATTTGAATGAATTGAAAGGCTGGATAGTTTATCGACGAGAATAGATACAGATAGGTCTATTGTTAGAGAGCTGATGATTATCGTGTACACAATTTGAATATAAATACTAGTCTAAAATTCCACAATTCAAATGGTTGGCGAATTGGCTACGTTACGGGTAGCTGGATTTGAGCCTTATAGAAATTGTCCATGGTTGTGCGAATTTAACGAAGTTTTTTTTTAATGATTTTAACGTAATATGTTGCAGGTGATAATGATAACAATGAAACAATATGCTAGGATAATCCATCTTAAAATCCGTATTATTTTCAAATATAACGTTCAGCCGTTACCCGAGCCAAGTAGGTCCCCTATATTGTATTCATATCTTGGTTAATCCCTACAAATCCTGTAACTCCTTCGATTCAAGTTACATTGTAGATAGGCATCGTCTAACATAATAATACTGTAGCATAAAAATATGGATTGCTCTGTATAGATCAACTTTTTTTAACGACATTTGCTAGAATAAAGCGTTCTGAAAGACAAGTTACGATACCGACAGACAAGACGCTAGTACTGTGGTGAACATCTTGTTAGCATTTGGGAAAATACCTTAGCAAAATACAGCACTTTAGATATACGGAACTGAAAAGCACAACTTTAGCATTCCAAAATGACAGACAACTCGGCAGTAATACGAATGACAACAGGTTAGGAAATATATCAAAGAATCTTAAACAAAACATTAGCGCTAAGAAGTATTTGCAGTCTGAAAATTATCATATTGATATGAACAAAAGTTACTTCAGTTCAGTATGTGATAAATAACGTAGATCAAAAGTACTATTTTAAACAATCGACGCAATTGAGTTGTAGGTTAATTCATATAGAATATTGAATGCTTAAAACCAGTGAGGTAGACAATCTTTAAATAATCATTCTGGTTATGCATGAGTTGAAAAATTCAATTTTAAATTTCGAATATTAATATACACTTATATACTGAGACGAACGGGGTCTTATTTCTCTATTGAAAGATAAAGTTCATTTTATTCACAGCAAGCTCGGCCCCATTCAATTTGCCTATATATTACTAATTTTACAGCTCAGTGGAGCGAGCATAATTTTTACATTCCTTTTTTTAAAATTATGGCCATTTACACGCTGATTCTATGGATTTTTAATGAAAGCAATGGCATTTAATCTGTGATATTTGTAACAATCTAGACAAAACCTAGATTCACTTTAATCTCATCTTCAATATCGTATCAAAATCGACCTCTACGTTAGAAACTATTACTAAGTTCAAAAAGTTTATATCTTATACTTAAGTTTGAAAACAGTTTCAAATTCATTTATATACATGTAGTTTAAAGTCAATTCATTTCAAATCAGTTCATAATATTTGATTTAATCGAGCTCTTCCAACTAACCTCATTAAATATTATTGATCAATGACGTCACTACTCCCGGATTAGATTGACATGTCCTTTTACATATGAAACGCTTAATAGGCACATACTTACAATATTTAAATTAGTGTAATATTTATTAGTTCCATTAAACCTAAATTACTCATTATTCACCTCATTTAACATTCATTATAATCAACGTTTATTCATGCAATGACACATATAAAAGTAATTAAATGCACTAAAGTGTCACTTCAGTTAAATGATGTCGAATTGTGGAAAAAAATGACCCATATTTTATACATTTGCGATGCGTGGTGGCATGTCAATGTTTCAAGAATTTTACCTATTGTGGTATCTTGGTTATGAATTATCATACTGCAATGTGGATTGTGCATAAACTGAAGTAAATTAGTCGATTAATCAAATGTCTATCATCGGGTTATAATATATAATAAGTGTATTTATTGTTGATTAATTAAGTTATTTTGAAGGGTTTTTTTTGTACCAAATAAATGAAGCAACAATGAATTATTTCTATCACAAATCTATCGACTAGTACATGGATTCCACAGTGATTGAAAATGCTCTTCATTCGGCACGACTTCCAAAATTGTTTCAACACCAGAATAAATGTAATTGGAAGCATCCAAGAGAGTAAAAGTAGGCATACCACTAGTATGTAGTTTTACTTTTCCACGACCATTGGTGCTAAATATCATAATAAATTTCAAGAAGACTTCCCATGTCACTTTAGCTGTTGCTGTGCTCATAGTAATAAGGATGTGAATGAGAAAACATGATGTTTAACATCCTTCTATACAAGGACATTATATAAACTGACAATAAAAATAACCTACCTTCATTCACTTTCAAGTACAAACTACGTAGCAAAACTTCAGATT